GCCATAAAGATCTCTTGGTTGCTCGAGTGTCTAGGTCACTCTCCTTTTAGGGGAAGATCTTTTCATCTACAGGTTTTCAGAAGAAAAGGGAATGCTCTAGGGGAGCTGTATCTAAGGACCTGCACTGAGATGCCTCATGCATACCTGGACCAGCTGTCATGATGTGAGGACACTCAAGTATCCCAAAGAGAATCTTTGTGCCCCGGAATGGCTGACCTCCTGCCAACATGCACCCTCCCTTGAAAGGGAATTCTACAGCCTGAGTCGAGCGTTCACATGACAACAGCTCTGACTGACCTCTGAATGCAGCCTGCCGAGTAACCCAAAGCCAGCTCCCAACTTTCAGCGATTCCCCAAAACTGARTAAGATAATAAATATTTACTATTTAAGCCACTAAGTTTTAGAGTAATAGATCACAAAGATGCACTAATAGATCACAAAGATGAAGTATTCTCAGAGCTATTTGGTCTAATCCTTCCAATGAGCCCAGGAGGGACATCAGGAATGTCGTATACTCAAGCCATCAATCCTTTCATTATAAAAGGGACAAAAAATGTGACTTTTATTACCTCCTAGAAGTCAGCAGACTTTTTTGGAAGGTACCAGAGAGGAACTATTTTAGACTTTGTGAGACATTCTGTCCCTTTCATAACTACTGAACTCTATGGGTGGCCTGAAAGCAGCCTCAAAGAACACAGAAACGAGAGAGTATGGCTGTGCACTTATAACAGAAACAAAACAGGCCAGATTTGGTTTTGCCAGAGAGCTATAGTTTGCTCGCACCTGCTCAATAACCAAACGTCATCTCTTTCAGTCATCACTGCACCTGTTGGGAAATGCTGTCATCTACTAAGTTTCAGCTTTTCTCGGTCATTTCAGATTTAAACTCAGTCATCTTGAGTCTTCTGTCCTCCTCACTTCTCTTCTACCTGGAATGGTCTCTCTGATCTCAGGACACTTCCCTAGTGTCATAGCACTGAGAGCAGCCAGAGGACCGAGGACCAGTATCCCAGAAGCTAGCTGTCTTCTCTGCTAGCTTCTATTGAAATGACATTTTCATCCCTCTCTCCCTCCCTCCCTCTTACCCTATCCCTCCCCCTCCCTCTTCCTTCCTTCCTTCTCAGTACCAGGGGTCAAACTCAGGGCCTCAATGCATGCTAGGCAAATGCTCTACCACTGAGTTACATCCCCACCCCTTTCTATCTTATTTTGAGATAGGGTCTTGCTAAGTTGCTGAGGCTGGCCTCAAATTTGCTATTCTCCTATCTTAGCCTCCCCAGTAGCTAGGGTTACAGGCATGCACTGCTATGCCTAGCAAGATACCTCCATCTTGCTGACCTCTGTCAGTCAGTCCAGGTACCCTGAATCTCCCTCCTGTGAGCTGTGAGACCCCTTAGGACCTGCCAGCATCTCTCAGTTCTGCCCTTTTTGGACACAAAAATTCCAACACTCTTCCATGCCTGGTGGTCATAACATAAAATAGACACACTGTGGGGCTGGGGTTATAACTCAGTGGTAGAGCGCTTGCCTCGCACTTGTGAGGTTCTGGGTTTGATCCTCAGCACCACATAAAAAATAAATAAGTAAAATAAATAAAGTAAAAAAAAAATAGACACACTGTGATTGTCACCCTAAGCCTAGGGCTTCCTGCAGAAGCTTCTATACTGAGAAGTGAGGCCAAGTGTCCTCTACTCTGGATCCCCAAATCAGTCTAAGGGTTCTCTCTCTCTCTCTCTCTCTCTCTCTCTCTCTCTCTCTCTTTTTCCAACTCCACATGTCTACCTCCAGCAAAGGCTCAAGGACACAGCCCACCATCTTAGCCTTCCCCTCCTCACTCAAATCTCCCAGCCCAGAGTTTGCTACTGTTTCTCTTTGTTGTGTCTTTTCAATACCTTTCTCAATTAGCTTCTGAGATTCTTCCAGTCTTCAGATACTTGAACCCAAGAAACAGAAAAAAATACAGTTTGTATCTTGTTCCTTTCTTTGTCCCTTCCTTTGAAGCTATAGGGAGAAGACCTAGATTGAAGACAGATAAAAAGGAGAGGCTACATGCAGAGAATTCAGAACAGTACCACAAAATCATGCTCAAAATCTACTTGCTCAACAAGTAGGTATTACTAGTAGTATTGTTAAACTATAGATAGATAGATAGATAGATAGATAGATAGATAGATAGATAGTTGTAGATGGACACAATGGTTATTTACTTCTTTTTATGAGGACGGAGCCTAGTGCCTCACACATGCTAGGCAGTTGCTCTACCACTGAATTACAACCCTAGCCCCTAATATTATTATTATTATCATTTTATGTATAAGGAAACTGAGGCCTGGAAAGATTAAGAAGCTGTAGTTCTTGCACAAAGCGCTGGATTTAGAACCAGAAGCCAAGACTGGAACTTGGGCATCCCTGGCTGTTGGTGGTGTCCCAACTCTCCCTTCCTCTTCCTAACCTCAGCACTGTTCAGTGGTCAGGTGGACTCAGGCTCCTTGAGCTCCTGCCATACAACTCTAATCCCACCCAGTACTGTACCCTGGAAGAATCGAATGCCTCCTCCTTCATGAGTCTTGGCAATCTCTCCCAGACCTCCCTCACTGCAACTGGGATTCTGGTCCTTAGCTCCACCCTTGTTTGGCTGCATGACCTGGGCCCTCCCTGGGTCTCAATTTTCTCATCTGTAAACTGCGGATTATAACAGTAATTCAGTACATGGTCACTGAGGGCCTACTCTGGCAGGCAATGAGCTGGAGGATGAGGTTATACAAGAGACTAATACTGTAGGCATTCAGTGATGAAAGCTGCCCAGTGGTGCAGGATTTGTCCTGCTAGTAGGGGCTTCTCAGGGAGTTTCTCTTTGATCAGTGAGTGCTTTTGTCCCTAAAGGATGTGCTRATAGGTACTTTCTTGTTTCATCAGGCTGCTGGGGCCCCAGAACAGTTGGCAAAGCAGTTGGTCTCTTTGCCTCCTATTTTTAGGTAGGGAAATTGGTAGGGTAAATGTGATGGGGCCCAGGCTGTCTGGAAGATTGGGAGTCTTGCATGCAGCAAGTTGTCAGGGGTGGGGGACATTGGCAGATGTTCCCTCTCAGGAACAGATGAGAAAATTCCTACTCATGCCTGATAATGGAAGTCAAAGGCTACCTCCTCAGTGTGTCTTCCTTGATTTCCACATAAAACACACACCTCAAAGATAACTTAATGGTCCCCCCTTTGGCTTCTCCCAGCCCTTGCTTGTTCTTCCATACCAAGAGATACCAAAAAATAGGAGCCTCGTCTGATGCAGATAAAGTTTCTTCTATAAGCCCCCATCCTAACATGAAATGTTAGAAATTAGGTGTCCAGGGGCTGGGGATGTAGGAAACTTGCCTAGAATGCGGGAGGGCCTGGAGTCCATCCACCCCCCCCCCCCCCCCCCCAAAAAAAAAAAACTTAAAAATCTGGACTTCGGAGTCACTCATATAGCTGAAATCTCCCTCTTGGCCCTTTTCTAGCAAAATAGCCCTGAGCAAGTTATTTATGTAAATTTGTTTCCTCCTCTGTAAAAATGAATGATTACCATGCCTGCCTCCCCAGAACTAAAGGCTTTTTTTGTTTTGTCTTGTTTTATTTTGTTTTTTCTCAAAACCAGCACAAAGCGCCTTTTAGAGGGGTAAAAGAGGTCTCTTGCAAGCCCCAGACCTAGAGGGGCTGGCTGAATGCCCCCAAAGCTCTGCTTATCCTTTTGCTATCACAGGCACCCAGGGTGTACGTGGTGGCGGAAGAGGAGGYACGGTGTGTGCCTCTGGATACCCAGAGACCCAGAGCCAGCCCGAGGTCAAATCACTGAGAGAAAGTGGCCAAGCTGGGCTGGAAGACAGGTCTGTAACTCAGCGCAGCCGCTTTCCACTGCCTTTGCTGCCGACGCACACCCCGCCCTCCTTCTTCAGTATTTTCCTTCTCTCTGCTCCTCGCCCCCGCTAATTCTCCTCCTCTAATTCTGTGGCTTCCCCATATGGGAGGCGGGATCTCCAGGCAGGAGATGGGATGTCAGATCCCCCAGCCTAAAGCTACGGAAAGGAGCCTTCAGACCAGGGATCTGGCTCTGCCTCACAGTGGGTGAAGACGTCAGGGTCTCTAGGAGAACCCCCGGAGTCCCCGGAAATGGGGGCGGAGTCTGGGGACCCCTAAATGGGGGAGGGGTCTCGTAGATTTTCAAGGAGTCCCTGAGCCAGCTGAGAGCGAGAGGGAGTCCCTCAGACAGCGGTGGGCGGGGCTTTCCTGTACCCTGGGCGGTGCCCGGGGCGTGGTCTCCAGAGGGGGCGTGGTCTCCCGGTAAGGGGCGTTGCTCTGCCGACCRAGGCAAAGCTAGGCCGCAAGGGGCGGAGCCTTAGACAAGGAGGGGCTTCTGTGGGCGGAGCCAACGGGGCGGGGCCTCAATCCAGGGGGCGGAGCGTGGCAATTCGTGCTCGTCCCCCTCCCCGCGGCCCCGGGTGTCCCCGTGACGAGGCAGCGCGGAGCCGCCGCGGGCCSGGCCCATCCCGCCGCAGCGGCCCCGGGGCCAAGCAGGGACGAGGCGGGGAGGGAGCAGCGCAGAGCGGGGCCCGGAGAGCGGCCAGGTGAGGCCGCCAGGGCTGAGGGGGCGGGGGCTGCGCCGGGCGGGCGCGGGGGGCGTGTTTGCGTATCTGGGTGACGGGGGAGTGGGTCCGAGGCCGCCGCCTGTGGCTGTTTGCGCGTCTTCTCGTCCCTGCAGTCGCGGGTCCGGGCTGGGCTCTGCGCCCGTCCGGGCTCTGCCCGAGGGCCCCGGGTGTGCAGGACTGTGCACGCACGCGTGTTTATGTGGAGGGGCCGCTGGCTGTGTATCTGCGTATGCGCTGGGCCGTCATTGTGCCCGCCCGGGGCGCCGGGCACCGGCCTGCCCCAGCGCAGTCCCTACAGCATAGGGATGTTTTCCAAACTGGCTGCCTGCGGGAGACAGATCTGCTGCAGCCTGAGCCAGACGGGGGAGCGCCGCCCCCACAGGCCTCCAGAGACCCAGAGGCCTGGGGACCGCTGACACCTGAGGGAGGGTGGGGGCGCGCACCCAGGAGAGTCCAGAGGCCTGCCCTCAGGGCGAGGTCAAGATGGGGAGACTGAGGCAGATGGATGGTGAGGTGGAAGTAGGCAACAGGAGGAGAGGGGGAGGAGGGTGGGAAGAGAAATGGGAGGGGAAGGACAGTGCTGGGAGGACAGAGAGTCATTGAGAAACAGACAGACGGACAGAGGCCTAGACATGCAAAGAGGCAGAAAGATTATGATGAATAGATGGATGCAAAGAACCTGACAGAGGGTAACTCAGAGGTCCTGGGGCTAAAATCTCAAGCCAGGAATTGAGTCTTAGACCAAGTTAAAGACCCCCAAGTCCTGGGTTGCCCTTCTTCCAAGAACATCCCAGACTGGGATCTTGGCCACCAACCAAGTTGTTCCATTTCTCTGGCCCCACCAAATATGCGGGACCTCTGACTCTGCCACCTCCCCCTCTTGTTTCCATTCTGCTCATCTCCCTCCCTGGTGTCCCAGCAACCCTTGGCAGTTTAGGGGAGGCAGAGGAGAATGGTTGCCATAACAATAGATGTGTGAAAGGTCACTCTGCCTTAGCCTAGGTGGYTTGCAGCAGACTGGAGCTGGGATTGAGGGGGACTGGGGTGGGAAGCTTCAAAGCTCTCTTCTTCTCTCTCACTCTGCCCAGAATGGTGCTGGAAGGAAACCCTGAAGTGGGGACCCCCCGAACCTCAGACCTCCAGCACCCCGGAAACAAGGGCTCTTGCATCCTTTCTTCCAGTGAAGATGCACAGCCGGGMGAGGAGCCCATCAAGTATGGTGAACTCATCGTCCTGGGGTGAGCCTCCCTGATCCTGGAGGGATGGGCACCTAGCAGCCAGAGGGAGGGCCCCAGCTCCCAATAAGTAGGGCCTTCTGCCGTTTTCCCTTGTTTCCTTCCCAGCTGAAAGACAAAATTGACTAAACTTACCTCAATTCATAAATATTATTTTATCTTCCCGTTTTCACAAATTCCTGAGACCTCCCACCCAAGTTTCTGATCATATGAGAAAAAGTAACAACTGCTGCCTTCTGCAAAGCGCCTATGATGTGTTGTGTGGGGCAAAGAACTCTGGTTCTGCAACAAAACTGCTTGATTCCAATTCTGCCTCTGCAAGTTGCTGAACTCCCTGTGCCTCCATTTCCCATTCCCATTTTACAAACAGGGATGATAATATTCCCTGCCTCAGAGGGTTGTCAGGAGCAAGCAAGGAAAGAAGGAAGGAAGGAAGGAAGGAAAGAGATGATTTTTGTTAAGTATGTAGAACAGCGCCCGGGCACGTATCAAGTGATCTGGGAGGCAGGCCTGTGCCAAGCCCTTTCATGGACATTATTTCATTTCAATCTTCACAAAGATGCTGTGAGGAAGGAGGTGAGGAAACCGAGGCTCAGAGAGGGGAAGTGACTGGCCCAAGGGCACACAGCTGGTAAGTGGCAGGGCTGGGATTTGGACCCAGGTCTTTCTTACTCTAGGTCTAGTGGACTGTCACTAAGCTACAGCTCATCCTCAAGCTACAGATGGGAAAACTGAAGCCAGGAGAGAAAAAGCAACTGGAATTGGTGGCTGGACAGACCTCATCTTTTTTTTTTCCCCCTGGTTTTGGCCTGACCTGAATTCCTGCACCTCCTTCACAGCTCTTGCCCTAGGCWCAGATCCCTCTTTTTCTGCCCCAATCCATGTCTCCTTTTGGCCTCTCTCTGTCATCAGTCCAGAAGAAACTACTTGATAAGCTTTAACCTCATGATGATGATTATTAAGGAATAATAATGACTATTGCTTGTTGACACATATGTATAATGGGCTTTTTTCCCTTAAGAACAATAACAGCTAACAGTTATCAAGAGCTTGTTTTCTATGCCAAATTCTGTGCCAAGAATTTTCAAATGTTTTATCTCATTTAGTTTTTAAAATGAAACTACAAGGTAGGTTCTGAAAAATGGGCCATTAACCAGGCCCACCTGAATCCTGAACCTGGGTCCTAAACCACCACTGTCTAGACCACCCCTGACCCCATGAGAAGAACTCCAAAGGGCAAAAGCAGCGCCCCTCTTAGGGTACTTGCATGAGCATAACAGCTGCTTCATATCCCCAGGAAAGGCCTGGTTTTCCATCTGAGGGCAAGGCCACTGATGGGGGAGAATGTAGACCAATGAGATGGGCCCGTACCAGCATCTATTCTCTGCAAAGCAGGGAAGCCCCATGCTGGCTGTGCATCAGAGCCACTGGAAAGTGCATTGAAAACACACATTGACAGGCCCACCTTGTCAGAATCAGAATCAGAATCTCCATAGGTAGGGCCAGAGAATCTGGACTTTAAAAAACTCACCAGGAGATTTTGATTCAAGTGGTCCTTGTCTGTATATGGCAGCTAATCACCCATCACTTCCTGCTACATATGGCAGCTAATTGCCCATGACTGCCTTCAGAAATATAATTCTTAGCCTAGTGTTCAGGGCCCTTCTACCAACTTCATCGTCCCCTGATAACACTTTACAACCCAAATGACCAATCCCTGATCTCACAAACCCTGCCAGCCTTGGGGCCTTGGCTTAGGTTRAGCCCTTCAACTAGAAGGACATCTGCGAGTCTGGAGTCAAGCAGACCTGAGCTCAAATCTGGACTTTTTAACTTATAGGCTGAGGCAAGTCAGTCTACCTCCCTGAGCCTCCAGTTCTCATATTCATAAAATGGAAAGAAAGACACTTGCCTGGCAGGACAATGCACAGATTCCATTAGGTAATTAAGAACGTGAAGGGCCAGGAACACAGAGGTAGCAGTATATGGCAGCCATCAAGGATCTTACTCACTCCATCTTTGCTTCTCACCATCATTTCCCCTGGACAAGAGCTGCAAAGGAAGGTGGCAACTTGACATGGATGGAGATATGGAGGTAGTAGCRTTGTGGATCCATTCATCTCCTTCATTTGTTTTCTAGTAGTGGTGTAATAAGTTATAGTTTGCTACAGGTGAATCCTTTCCAGTTCTTCATGGCTTTATGTAGGTGTTCTTTCTCTCCAAAAACCTGATCCAGGGGCCAGAATTTCCTTSTGCCTTTGGACCTGGGGTACGCTTGGCTTGGGCCCAGAGGCATGTTGTCAAGCCAGTTGATGCCTGGGTCCTTGAGAAGCTGGGGACCCCTCCACTGACAGCACAAAACTGATCATTGGATATATCATTTCKACAACCCCAGCATCCAGCACCTGTCCAGGCATGGCTCAGGCATCCAGGAACAYTTGGTTAATTGAATGCAAGACACCCCCCACAACACACCTAACATGCCAATCTGCTGATGTAGGGTCTTCTAGCTTTTGTTGCTTCCAGATCTTGTTTATGACAGTAGGACCTGCCTGGAGCTGGCAGTTTTCTTCAAGTCTTGCCAGGGGCTCACTTTCTCTTTCTTTCTCTCCTCCTACAACCCTTTCTTCTTAATCCCCACAACCACAGCTACAATGGGTGTCTGGCAAGTGGGGACAAGGGTCGTCGGCGAAGCCGCCTTGCACTGAGTCGCCGGCCACATGCCAATGGAGTGAAGCCAGATGTCATGCACCACATCTCTACACCCCTCGTCTCCAAGGCAAGCAGTTTATCCCAGCACCCTGTCCCAGGCCCAGGTCTTGGCCTGCCCACAGCCCCTGTGGAGCAGGGCAGTGCACTGTGCTGTCACTCACAGCCTAKTGGCTACCAGAGAAATGATGATGGTGGGAAATCCTTTGTAGTGTGCACAGGACTTTACAGTTTGCAAAATGTTTCCTTGACCTCATTCACTGGATGGAAAGGATCATTTTAGAGGAAGCCAAGGCTCCTAGAGTGGGATATGATGGTTACACAACAGTAGCAAAGGGAAAGACTTGGCCCTGGAGGATGGGGTAGAAGTCAGCTCTGCTAGTTCCAGCTGTGCAAAGCCAAGTCACTTCTCCCTGAGCTACAGCTCCCTCAACTGTAAAATGGGAACCATAGTCCATCCTTGGGGTGGCTGCAGGAGCACCTGCTGAGCGGTCCCCTTGGCACAGGATGCAGCTCCCTTCCTCAGGGTTCACTGCCAGGCCCTGAGCTCATTTCTGGCTCAGAAGGTTATATCTCTCATGGCCACATGCCCTGGGAGGTGACTTCTTTCTCCTTACCAGGCTCTGAGTAACCGAGGCCAGCACAGCATCTCATACACACTGTCCCGGAGCCACTCAGTTATAGTGGAATACACGCATGACAGCGACACAGACATGTTCCAGGTATGCTCAACCCCTCCACCAGTCTCCTGGCCTCTGAGCTCTGCAGGCATTCCAAGGTGAGGCCACAGGGCTAAAAGCCATGGGAAGGTCCCTTGTGGGTGTGGGGGGGTACAAGGCAGTGCTCTGTACTATGAAGAAGCAGGATGTCCTGGCAGGGGTTACCGGCTCTGCACTGGCATAGCAAGGCAGCTGCCATGTCAAGACACAGACATGTGATGCCCAGAGTGGGGGCCATTTGGCTTCCGAGTCCAGAGGGCAGGTGGGCAGGTGTGAGAGTCCTCATGCCTGGGTTCAGATGCCAGCTCCGTCACTCGCCACGGGATGACTTTGGGCGAGAGTCCTTTAACCTCCTGGGCCTTGCTCTCCCCAACTATAAGTGGTACTAATAATAACACTGAGGTATTCCACTAGAATACTTAGCTTAGAGACAAAAGTCACCATTTGTTGTGAATATTGAAGCCCTTCCATACCAGAGGTGTCACTTTTCCACTGTTTTATAAGCAGACCAACTAGCTTTTATTGAGTGTGGAAGGGGGGAGGTAGAGAAGGAGAAGCTTCAAGTCATATCCAGTTGGACGTGGAGACCCTATCTGGGAGCCCGGAGTCCCCTCCTCTGGGTCTGGCAGCCTCGTTGCGTGGTGGCCTTGCACACAGAGCAGCTGCTGGGACGCTGGGGAGGGAAGCTGTGAGTCCAGCTGTGCGTGTGTAACCCCTGTGCTTGCCTTCCCCTCCCTTGCAGATTGGACGCTCCACAGAGAACATGATAGACTTTGTGGTAACAGACACATCCCCTGGAGGAGGGGCTGCAGAGGGCCCTTCTGCCCAGAGCACCATCTCCCGCTATGCCTGCCGCATCCTCTGTGACCGCAGGCCACCCTATACTGCCCGCATCTATGCCGCTGGCTTTGATGCCTCCAGCAACATCTTCCTTGGAGTGAGTGATCCCCAGGCAGGGACCAGCTCTTCATTAGAGAGTGAACTAAGGGGAGGCTGGGGAGGTGCCTTTCCCTGGAGTGATGGACCCACCCACAATCATCCTAACCRTGACCCAGGGAGGCCTTACAGCCCCACTCCATAGACAGCAGCCTGAGGCTTAGGGAGATCAGGTGGTGCCCAAGTCATGCCGGCCTGTCTGGGTTACCTCTGAACTTGGGGTACAGACGTAGCCCCTCTGGTACACAGCCAGCTGGGGATACCCAGGGATGTGATTGGATCCCTCATGTGGTCCCAGGAGCGGGCAGCCAAATGGCGGACCCCCGATGGCCTGATGGATGGCCTGACCACCAATGGGGTCCTGGTGATGCACCCTGCGGGAGGCTTCTCAGAAGACTCGGCCCCAGGTGTCTGGCGGGAGATCTCCGTCTGCGGGAATGTGTACACACTGCGGGACAGTCGCTCAGCCCAGCAGCGGGGGAAGCTGGTAGGTGGCCCACTCCATCTCCCACACAGCCCTTCCCAGRCCTGCATAGTCTGCCCATCCCCCTGCCCAAGGTGAAAGATGACTTGCTGTCCTCATGCCTGAGGGAGCCCCAGTGGGCTCCATCTAGAACCCCAGGAGTTCTTGGCGCATGCCACTTGTCCCACGGGCAGGAGCAGACTAGCATCCCCAGGTGGTAGCCTGCGCAGTGCTGAAGATTCTGGGGGGTGATGAGAAGTGGAGCTGCACAGAGACACTGTGCAGTACCAAGAGCAGCGAGGCTGCCAGCAGCTTAAAAAAATCACACCCTCTTAGGAGGGTGACACTTGGCCCATGTGTGAGTAGTTTATAGCCTAGAGTGTTGGCAGTTTGTAGTATGTCTGTCACGTACAAACAGGTTTCGCTTTATTATCCTCTCCCAGCGGGAAAGGGCCATTGGAGTAGTTCTGACAGTGCTGGCCACGTGGAAGCACCACGTGGCACAGAGCAGAGAAAGAAGGTTCAGAGCTGGGAGTGAGTCCTAGAGAGAGGTAGCATGTGGCCACTCAGGGCTCTTCCTGGGTTTCAGCATGCTGGCCAAGGAGATGAAGACCTCAGGGGAAAGCAGGGCTGATCTAGAGATGCTACTGGGAGAGTTGAGAAGCATCTTTTGTGTGTGTGTGTGTGTGGTGCTGGGGATTGAACCCATGGCCTTGTGCTTGTGGGGCAAACTATATCCCCAGCCTGATAAGCGTCATTTTTAAAATCTATGCACACAAACTATCCAGACACTTGTCGAGCTGTGTGCCAAGCTCTGGTCCAAGTACTTATGTTGATCAATTCATTTAATCTTCATGAGACCCACTTGAGATGGGGACCTGGAACCCACTTTGAGGATAAGGAGACTGAGACACAGAGAGGTTAAGCTACTCTCCTTAGAATACAGAGTTATTGAACCATGAGGTCACTCCAAAGTCCTTGCTGTTAACCATGACCCTGGGACAGCCGATTTGGCCTCAGTAGTAGCATTCTGCACAAGAGGTGTTTTCTGCCTCTTCCATTATGGGGCGGCTTTGGAAAAACCCTGTTTGCGTCCCAGTGAGGACACCAAAGCCTATGCTGGGAGTGAGGGACAGCGAGTGCCTAGGGAGCCTCTGCCTGCCTTCCCACTCCCACATGACCTCCCAGCCTGCCCTGCTGACCCAGCGTGCCCTATCCAGAGAGTGTCAGTGGGATAGACAGAGGGCTTGTCTGGGGTGAGGCTGCCTGATGGTGGGCTGGGGCCTCTTAGGCTAAGGCCCTTCTGCTGCCTCTGGCAGGTGGAAAATGAATCCAACGTGCTGCAAGACGGCTCGCTCATCGACCTGTGTGGGGCCACACTGCTGTGGCGCACTCCGGCAGGGCTGCTGCGGGCACCCACGCTGAAGCAGCTGGAGGCCCAGCGGCAGGAGGCCAATGCAGCACGGCCCCAGTGCCCAGTGGGCCTCAGCACCTTGGCCTTCCCCAGTCCAGCCCGCGGTCGCACAGCGCCTGACAAGCAGCAGCCCTGGGTCTACGTCCGCTGCGGTCATGTCCACGGCTACCACGGCTGGGGCTGCCGGCGGGAACGGGGCCCCCAGGAGCGCGAGTGTCCTCTCTGCCGCCTTGTGGGGCCCTATGTGCCCCTGTGGCTTGGCCAGGAGGCTGGCCTCTGCCTGGACCCTGGGCCGCCCAGCCACGCCTTTGCACCCTGCGGCCACGTCTGCTCTGAGAAGACTGCCCGCTACTGGGCCCARACGCCGCTACCCCACGGCACCCATGCTTTCCATGCCGCCTGCCCCTTTTGTGGGGCCTGGCTTACGGGTGAACATGGCTGCGTCCGCCTCATATTCCAGGGGCCACTGGACTAAGCTCCTGGGRCCTCTGCTGCCGTGCCCGCCTGCCCACCCAGGTCTCCCACCCCCTGCAGCCCAGATGGAGCTCTGCATGTGGGACTCTACCTGTTGGCACATTGCTCACTGGCTGGACACACTGGATGGGCTGTGACCCTCCCCTGAGCTCTGGTCCCCAGGGAGGTCCCCAAGATCTCTACCCTAGTCATACTGATGAGGGCTTTAGCACCAGTGCTGTTCCAGGCTGATGGAGGGAGTCAGCCCCATGCCCCTGCCCTTCCAGGGGCATCCCACATCATGCCGCCTACACTGTGCCCTTGGGGGAGTGAAGGAGCTGTGGTTCCTGACCCCCAGCTTAGGCTGGCTGTGCCCTGAGCCTGCCAAGTCAGTAACAGGTATCTGTCCTTCCTGATGCTGCCCYGCCGGGTTCCCCTATAAACCTTGCTGCTCAGCTGCCCTGACAAATCCACGTGTCCCGCATGCACGCAGTGCCTCCAGCCCTGAGCAAGTACTAGGTGGGCAGCAGGCTGGCGCTGGCATGTGCTGATGCCCACCATAGGCTACAGTGTGTGCCAGGTGGGCTCTGGGGATGCAGAGATAATCATGTTCCCCACCTGGTGGATTTCACTATCTAGTGGAGGGTGGACCAAATTACCAAATGACAGAATTCTCAGGGCTGGGGAAGAGTCACTGCTGGCTACAGGAAAGTGAATGAGGCAAGGGAACTCAGCCTCCATGGTGGCTTGGACTCCTCCAGGCCAATAGGATGGGGAGGGTGCTCTCTGCACAGTCTATGCAGCCTAGGGGTAGGGAAACAGGGCTGAGTGAAAGATTCTAGGGGCTGGAGCATGGACTGCAGGGGGCAGATGGGGGTAGAGCAGAGATGGGGCCAGGCTGATGGGAAGACGCTGGATGGAGGATTTGGATCCATATTTGTGGACAGCCAGGAGTCAACAAAGTAGGGAGAGGATTCTCGGCTCCAGAGCATTGGCTCTGACACAAGGGCTACTATCACTGAGTGCCCACGTGTGCCCCACACTGTGCTAACCATAATAACAACCGCATTCATTGAGCACTCACCAGGCACCAGGCTCTGCTTCTCGGAGATTTTGTTGTTTAATCTTCACACTAACCCAGGGAGGGAGGTTATTACCCTTTGCGTTCACAGGGAGATGAAGGCACAAACTCCAAGTCACATAGCTAGAAAGTGGCCAAGCCAGGACTTGAACCCAGAGCTGTCCATTGGGGCAAAGGCTGCTCCTCTCCCTGACACTATGGCTTTCCTTCAGTGAGTGGGGCTAAACTGAATGTGGTTTTCAAGTCTGTCCCATCAAATGGCTGGAGAAGGGGTCAGTGGACATCCACTGTCCATGGCCTAGCCCCATGCAGGGTCCCAGCAATGAGCAAGGCCCTTCCTTCCCAGCTCCCTGCCTGAGGAGAGACCTGCCCAAGCTGGTGTCAGAAGCTGGCAACCACAACCTGCTGGCCACCTGCACCCCAGGCCGATACAGTGGGCCATCAGCCAGGCTGGGGTGTTCTGAGCAAGAACTGAAGGCTTCTGAGAAGGTACAGGGAGTCACTCCAGAGGAAGGGCAGAGTTGGGAGGGCAGCTCAGGTGAGGGGAGCAGCATAGCAGGACAGGGAAAATGCTTGGTGACCAATGAGCGTGGTGTTCAGTGGGGCAGGAAAGAGGGATGGGGCTTTGGGTATCTGGACTAGGGTCTGGTGAGCCCTGGTGGCCGTGTCTGAGCTGGACGCCTTATRCATCCTTATCACGGGTTACCTATTCTTGTGAACCAAGGGTCGAGCTAGGGGTGTTGCTAGGGTTGCCCTCTGACCAACCAGGAAGTCAGGTAGAAGGACATTCTGGAAATATGAAAAAAAAGAAGGTTTTGAGTGCAGGCAGRACCTGGGTATCATCCCCAGTGCAGTAGAGAGTCCAGAGCCTTAGGAGTGCAGATTCTTGGTGGTGCACACCTATAATCCCAACAACTCAGGAGGCTAAGGCAGGAAGATCTCAAGTTTGAGGCTACCCTGAGTAACTTAGCAAGACCCTGTCTCAAAAAATAAGAGCTGCTAAGGATGTAGCTCAGTGGTGGAGAGGCCCTGGGTTCAATCCCCAGAACTGCAAAAAGGAGGAGTGCAATTTCCCCTGGAAGGAACTTCTCAGGGCCACACAGCTGGTTAGGACCACAGAGACCAGACCTGGGCTATTGAGAGGACAGAGGGCATGCTTGCATGGTGAGAGGAGGGAGATGTGACTGCATCCTTGTTTCCTTGCTAAGTAATGCTTAGTTACCATGAGATGGAGGGCAGATAAGGACGCTGGAGTGGGTGTGGGAGCGTTTCAAACCATCCTACAGCAGTAGAAACACAATTCTCCCCAGTTGTTCCCTCTTCTGACCCTGTTGGGAACCAGGAAAGGGAAAAATCTGATTCTATTTTTGGTGGGGAGTTTCAAACTCTGGGAGGGAGAAAAGCTAGGGGCACTACCCTCAGTGCTGGGGAGAACTTGTAGGTATTGGCGGGAGGGGTCAGATGGCCTGGGACTTGCCCCAGCTATGCCCTTTGTCAAATCTTAGAGCCTCATTTAAATAGGATGACAGTCCCTTCCTCATCAAGTGGCTGTGAATGTCTGGAAGGCACTGGTGCCACAGTACATACTTAACACTGCTTCCTCACCTATCTCTTTGACATTCTCCAGGGGAAGGGCCAAGGCAGGGGATGAGCATGACTCCAGTGAGTAGACAGTTCTGTGTGAGTGTGGGTATGCATGTGTTTTGGGGACAGGTGGAAGGGACAGTGTGGTGGAAGGTCTGAATAAGATTAGGCCCTAGTTCAGGGATTCCTGAAAATATCTGTATGGCCTTAGGGAAGTCAATGAACCCCTTAGCTTCAGTCTTTCCATCTGTGCAGTGGGTAAAGTGGTATCCTATCTCAGGGGTTTTGCAAGAATTAAATGAGATTCTCCATGGCAAGCAACTGACAAAAGACCTCAGTTAAGCGCTCCCATTAACCACAATCATAAAAATGGGAATTTTAAAGCTTGGTTGAGGGTCCTGTGTACCGGGCTCTTTAGCTTGCCTGAGCCCCCTGGTGGCCATGGACCACTTTACCTCCTATGTACATTCGACTTCACCTGAATCAATCCATTTTATAATCATTTTAAAAACAATGAGAATTGAGACCTGTGACTTTCCTATAGAAAAGATGACTTTTGTATRGACATATACCCTTTTATTGAGCTCCTCCTTATAATGGCAATTGTCATCAGAGCCAATAGCTAGCAGCACTGTCGTGCCAAGCAGAGCCTTGTGCATCTTTGTAAATGAGAAACTTGGCTCCTGTGATGGGCAGTTGCTGCTCTGGGCCTAGAAGCAGGTGTCGCAAGGAGAGAGTGCCAGATTTCAGTCCCTCAAACACCCCCATTTGCATGCACACAACTCTAGGGGGCAGTACTGCCCAGTCGACATTCCCTGAAGCCTACAACATCCTAGAAGTGGTTTTTCAGTTAGCCCAGTTTTCCAGCTGATGAAGCCACGACTTGGTGAGATAAAGTGACCCACCTAAGGTCACAGAACCCTTAGGTGATAGAAACCGGATTTGACCTTAGGCCACCTGACTCCACCCCCCAGTCTGATCCCGAGCCTATCACCAAGCTCCCCACTTGGCCCACGTCCAGCTCCAGGCACTTCTACATTCATGTCCCACCCAGGCCCAGGCTCCTGACGTGTAAGAGTGGACTTCCCACCGCCTCTGCCCTGGGCTGCCTTCCGGGGTCACTGGAAGCTTTCTCATCTAGCGGGCACCGGGCAAACACCAAGAAACCGCCTGCCCCTTTCCGCCCTCGCCCTTTTGTATTGAGGAAACGGTGACTTGGAAATGTTTAGCGGCTCCCTCCAGGCCCACGCCTGTGTGTGGCGGTGCAGTGAAGCACTCGGGAGCGTTTCTCGTGCCCCTGCGCTGGCAGGACCACCTGGGCGATTCCCCGGACCGAGAGTTCTGCGGTCTCCAAAGAGTCTCCCCGCCAGATCCCCGAGTCCAGTGAGGACCGGGGAGCCACATTACTCCCACTGGGCAGGTTTCCACCTGCAAAACTGAGGTCGGGGGACGAAGGCGAAACCCTAAAGGGTGGGGTCCTGGTTGGGTGTGAGGTGAGGACCCTGATGCTCTGTCCATGACACGCTAGTCCCGCCCGGGCTCGGGGACCCTGTCTGCACGGACCAGGCCGCGGCCAGGCGGGGCACCGAAATGCTCAGCTCCTGCGCAAGCTTCGCCCCTGGACAAAAGGCCAAGGCCGCAGGGCCAAGCGCACGACACCCTAGAGCCTGGGCGGGTGGGGGTGAGGGGAGCAGGCCGAAGGAGCTTGCCTCGGCGCGCCTATTGGCTGGTGCCGCCGCCCATCTTGACTCCGGGGCCAGAGAATTGGCTCGCAGGGGCGGGGTTTGCGGAGCTCCAATGAATGGGGGAGCCGGAAGCAGGAAGTGAGTTTGCGAACCGCGCAGTGCTGCAGGTGAGGAGCTGTGCTGGTTTCGGGGTCACGGTGTGTCATCCTCCGGGGACCTGAGCCAGGCTGGGTCGAGGGTCGAGAGTAGGATCACTCCTTTTCTGCCCACCTTTCATTTACGCCTTCCAAATCCATTCCGGTCCCTAGGCCAAGGAAAGTCCCGAGAAGCAAAGAGTTAACATCTCTTTTGGAACCCGCGGGACGTGCTATTGGGGCGGAGCCTCKTGAGTGGGGTGGGGGGAGGCTAGAAACTCATTCTCAGTCGGGGAGGGGGTAGTGGAGAATGCCTTGGGCTGGGAGACCCCCAGATCCCAACGGGGCTGTGAGACCTTTGGTAAGTGGTTTGGCCGCGCCAGATTTCAGTTTTCCCCTATATACAATGGGTTCTGGACGTCTGTGACTTCCCTGGCCGGGTTTGTGTCGAGGCAAGAGAACCGAAGTGCTGGGAGCCATGAGGGAGGAAAAGAGTTCATGGGAAGTCATTGCTGCTGTAGGTACATCCTGTCCAGGGCGATCTTATCTAATTTGGGTTGAGGTTGGGGTTATTGTCATCCTCTTTTCAATAGGAGAAAAGAGAGATGCAGAAAGGAAACAATTGGCTGGGATCATGTCSGGGTTGGGATCTGGGGCTTCCAGCTAGAAACCTGTTCCTCTGTCCTTCTGAACAATGGTGGTGGAGGGGGTAATTATTCTGAACAAGGAGGGTAGGTGGTCAGAGAAGGAGAGAAGATAGGGAGGAACCTGGACTGGAAGTCTAGCAATGAGGTTCTCTGATGCTGACCCCTCTGTAGTGTGATTAGGCAAGACTCCTATCCTGTCTGGGTTTGTTTCTCCAGCTGTAAACTAGGTGGTTGGATTCATACTTTGAGATTGAGGGACCACAGGCTCGGTGTGGCTCAGTATGTACTTTATAATCTCCTTGGGGGAGTCACTAACCACTTCTGAGTCTCAGCATATCTCATGAATACTGATCCACTAGTATTCCCTTCCTCCTGAGCTTTTGGGAGGCAAAAGAACTCATGGGAGTTCAGAGCCAGGTGTGCTATTAGGGTGTGCTGAATGACAGATGTGATGATGGTTCCTTTAGGGCCCATGGCGGATACCCAGTACATCCTGCCCAATGACATCGGCGTATCTAGCCTGGACTGCCGCGAGGCCTTCCACCTGCTGTCACCCACAGAGCGCCTCTATGCCCATCACCTGTCCAGGGCCGCCTGGTACGGAGGCCTGGCTGTACTGTTGCAGACCTCCCCTGAGGCCCCCTACATCTACACTCTCCTCAGCCGCCTCTTCCGCACCCAGGACCCTGACCAACTGCGCCAACATGCCCTGGCTGAAGGCCTTACCGAGGAGGAGTATCAGGTCAGTTCACCCAGGCCAGCCCTCATTTCCTGAGTGGCTTCTGGGTGTGAGGAACCAAGATACAGGGAGAGGATTAAACCAAATGTTATAAACTCAGGAGCCTCCTCTCCTTGGAACCTCAGTCTTCTCATCTGTTAAAAAAAAGTACAAATGGGTTTCCTGTACCTCTTGATGTTGTAATGAATCACTTAGAACAGTGCCTACTTCAAGGTAAGTGATGGCTGCTCACTTATCTTGAGTGAGCAGCCATCACTTACCTTGAAGTAGGAAAGAGTCAAGGCTAGAAATCGGGCATTCTGAGTTCTGAACCAGTTCTGGCAGTGGGCAAAATGTTCTGTCTTTTGGTTTTGTTTGTTTATAGATTTATTGGCCAAGTAATACATGGATTCTTAGAGCATTGCAGCAATGCAAAAGGGCCCAGAATAAAACACAAAGATTGCTCTTTCTCATGCCTCTCCAGAGGTGACCACTGTGGCTGGTGTCTGTGTTTTGCATRCCTATACCTGTATGTGCACAGCTTTCACATCCTTATTTTCTCTTTCACATAAATGAGATCATGCTCTTTGTCACCTTCTGTGTACTGCTTTTTTCATGAGTGCTGTGTCTTGGAGAACTTCCATGGGTACATATTAATCCACTTTTTTTTTTTTCCAGTATCAGGGATTGAACCCAGAGTCTTGTACATGCTAGGCAAGCTCTCTATCATTGAGCTATATCCCTGCCCTTTCAATTTTTTGTTTTGAGATAATGTCTCTAAGTTACTCAGGCTGGCCTCAAAATTGCTATCCTCCTGCCTTAGCCTTCCAGGTAACTGGGAGTACAGGTGCATACCACTGCACCTGGCTACCTCATTCTTCTATTGGCTTTGAAGCATTCTAYAACAGTGTACACTATAATCAATTTAGTCTTTTTTTTTAATTGCTGGACTTTTAGATTGTTCCTGGGTTTTCTTACAAACAGTGCCATGGTGAGCATTCTTGTGCACATGTGTGAGAAAGATCTATTTCTGGAGGCAGAATTGCGGGGTTGAAGGCTGTGTACATTTATTATCAACTGATTCTGTTAAATTTTCCTAAAAAGCTTCTCTGAGTTACATTCCCAGTAAGAATGAACAAGAATATAATCTGTTTTTCTATATATTAAATAAAGAGATTGGATTGCCTATCTCTGAACTGAGGTGCTGTTTCTTCTAGCTTTTTTGAACCTTGCATTTCCAGACTGTGTTCTTCTCATTAAAAGAGCTAGTCTGGTGGGTATGCTTATAAATGGGAAGGTGCTACCCAATTGCTACTATTTTTAGTAGGATTCTTTTGTTTGTCAGTAGCAGAAACTCACCTCAAAGCAGCTTCAATGAAAGAATTACTGGTTCGCATAATTTCAAAGTCCAGAGGAAGCTTCCGGTATGGCTATATTCAGGGGCTCAGTGCTACCATCAGAGTGCAGTCTTCATCTCTCAGCTCTGCTTTCTTTCCTCACTCCAGCAGGGGTGCTCCAGGGTTTCCAGGGCTGATAGAAGAGGAAACTGTTCACCAATGGCAAGTTTCCTGGTTAGAGCTTATTGGCCAGCTGAAGCCTTATGCTCATCCTTATAGCCAGAGAAGGTGATTTCTCTGACTGGCCAAGACAGCCTACATACGCACTGGAACTGGGGAAAAGGAGATTCCCCATAACCACCACCAGAAAAAGGAAGATTGAGTTCTTTGTGCTGAGAAAGTGAGACTAGATTGGGGCCAGCAAAGAAACATGRCCTAGAAAGATGTTTGAGGCTACCTGGCTTTGACAATTGATTCTTCCTGTGCCCGCTGCCTGACAGGTTGAAAGCTGAGAATAAGCTTTCTAGAAAAGGAGTTGGTGTTGGGACTAGGCTTTAAATGACACAAAGGCCATAAGTGGCTGAGAGGAAGCAAAGGTGGATGGGTGACTGGGTGTTCTTGAACTTTGGAGACCAGCGTGGCTGGACCACAGGGATGTGAAATTGGTCTGTGAAAGTAACTTGGAGCCAGACTGGGGCTCCCCAGGCTCTGGGTCCTGCCCCTAGATTTCCCAGCCTCACCCATGCTGGCTGTACCACATGTGCTTGTCATGTCAGGTCTCAGGCAGGGACTTCCCTACAGTGGGAGGGCTGTCTGTCCCAGGTTTCTGATGTGATACCATCTCCCCCTCAGGCGTTCCTGGTCTATGCTGCGGGGGTCTACTCCAATATGGGCAACTACAAATCCTTCGGCGACACCAAATTTGTTCCCAACCTGCCCAAGGTGAGCTGAAGGAGGTTTGGGAAGGGTGGGAAGCAGGGTGCCAGTGGGATGTGCATGGCAAAGATAGCTAAAGGAGCCCCAGCTGGAGTCCAGGTCTGAGCAGAACCTTGGCCTTGTCTCTGCCACACTGTGTAACCCTGGGTGTCACCCAGCCTTGCCCTGTGCTGCATACACATACAAAGGAAAAGCCTTGCAGATCTGAGGGTCAAGGAAGAGCAGGGTGTGGAAGCATGAACGAGTAGGTGCTTACAAGAATGGAAACCACTGGTCATCACGGAGAACAGGGGAGGAGCCTGGGTCCAGGGCATCCCTTCTAGGGACTGTGAGGTTAGAGCCTTGTTGGGGCAGATGCAGCTCATACACTAGGGCTTGTCAGATCTTAATGCCCGTACAAGTCACCTGGTAATGTCAAAGTGCAGCATCCAATTTGGCAGATTTGTAGTGCACCTGAGGCTTGACACTTCTCAGGCCCAGCCAGCGCTGGACCCTGGACCACACTCTGAGGCAAAAGAGAGTGGGCGCAGGTGGGGGATCTGGAGGGCAGGTTTGAGGGGAGCATGATCACGCCAGTGACCTCCTTTCCCCTACAGGAGAAGCTGGAACGTGTGATCCTGGGGAGTAAGGCCGCTCAGCAGCATCCAAAAGAAGTCAGGGACCTCTGGCAGACTTGCGGGGAGCTTATGTTCTCTCTAGAGCCGAGACTTCGGCACCTTGGACTGGGGAAGGAGGTGAGGCCTCAAATGCTTGGGCAAGTGGAGGGTGCCCTTGGGGTGARGGGAAGGGCAGCTGACAGGAAGGCACTGGGCTCTGTCTCTCTCAGGCAAAGCTGCTCTCCACTGCAGGCCTGTTTGGTCATCTGTTAATTGGGAAGAAGGCCAGAGGGAATGCTTCCTGCATGTCCTCCCAGCTCTGATCTGCCAGGATGCTGTATGCAGGAGGAGGGAAGGAAAGAAAAGCCGGGAGGTGGAAGGCGCTGAGGATGGAGGCTGGGGAAGGAGGGCTCCCAGGCTGMCCACTTCTAGAGGCTGCTTGGGTTGCAGGGGAGAGGCATGGCAGCCTGGGGGTGGGCCAGCTGTAGAAGTTGGGCAGAACTGCAGAAAGGCCCAAGATGACATCCATTTGTTTTATAATTTTTTTCTCCTGGAAAGAGAGCGGGGGGCAGGATAGAAGCTGCTGGGAAGAGGTGTAGGAAGACTGGGAGGCTGTCCCTGCAAGCCCCCCACTCCTGACCTTAGCAACTCCTCTTTCCCACCTTCCCCTCTTTTCCGACAGGGAATCACCACCTATTTCTCTGGGGATTGTACCATGGAGGATGCCAAGCTGGCTCAAGACTTTCTGGATTCCCAGGTTCGGGGATTGGGGACTCATCAATGGTGTGAGGGGGTCCTCCTGTCAGTCCCCTCATGACCGATGCCTGCCCTTGAGTCTCAGCTTGTACCCAGAGACACAGGCATGTTGGGTCCTTAAGGTGGAAAAGACTCAGACATCCTTGTCCTTGAGATCAGCCTACACGAACCAAGAGGATGTCACCCAGATGTCCCAGGTATGCCAGACATAGAGCTGACCCTGCCCATGCCGGGTTACGGGGCCTGATGACAGCCTCGGGGCAGGATGAGATAAAACATCAGAGGTGCGCTTCTAAGCCTGGGCCCTGGACAAGCTGTGTGACCAGTCTGTGAAGGGCACCCACSTCGTGTAGCACTGGGTCAGCTGCAGCCATGCAGTGCCTGACACGTCCAGTCCATAACTAATAAAAACTGGTGCTCAGCGTAGGTAGCAGAGCAGGAGCTTCAGCCCCGGCCTGCCCGTACCTGCTCCCTRTCCATCTGACTCGACCAGATCCCTCGGCCTGTTTTGCCTCTCTGTCATCCCCCTACAGCCCTCACTTTCCCTTCTCCCAACCCCTTACCCTCTCTGGACCTTTTTCTCCCCTAAACCCCTGCCTTGTTTTTTTCTAGAACCTCAGTGCCTACAACACACGGCTCTTCAAGGATGTCGACCAGGAAGGGAAGCCCCGCTATGAGGTGCGGCTGGCTTCTGTGCTCAGCACAGGTGCGCTTAGGTCCCTTCCACTTTTCTCTGTAGCAACTCTGGATCCTGATGGCTTAGACCACTAACCAGGCCACTCTAGAGAAAGAGGGTCCTTCTGTCCCAGGAGTTTCTGCATGTAGCCGAGGAGTGGATCTAGTCTCTATTTGTCAACCAGTCCTTATAGGTGGGCAAGGGACAGGTCTCTGATGGGCTCTGCCTGGTTTCAAGCCCACCCATGAGCCAGGCAATGAGCTCTATCCCTCGMAAACCACCTGGCCAGGTGGTGGTAATACTAGGGGGATTCTGCTGTGAGGTGAAGGCAGATGTGGGTGGAAATSTCCAGACCCTGTGAGGACATTTTCTGGTCCTCCTTTACCTGCCCACATCCCCCAGCCCCCCTTCCCCCCCACACACTGTGCTGTAGCTGTGCTCCGAAGTGTCTGGTTCCTAAACCCCTCTCCAGGCCTTTGCACAATCTGTTTCCTACCCAGAAGGCCCTCCAGGCCCTCCATGTTCACCGGGCCAGCTCCACTCATCCCCAAGCCAGGTGTGGATGTTGCCTTTGCCAATACCTTGTCATCCCTCAGCCAAGTCTCTGCTGTCCCTTCTTGCCTTCCAGGAGCCCCCAGTAATTCCCTGTTTTTCTGTTTCCCCCTCTTGACTATATGCCCCTGGGAGGAGGAATTGGGTGTTTCAGCCATCACTGTCTCTCCAGCACCTAGCATGTGGCAGATACTCAGGGACTCAGTGCAGGAATAAATGAAGACAAATGGGAATTTGCCTTCAGGTGGAGAGAATGGTGAGAGCCACAGCAGGGTGATAGGGAAGCCGAGGGATCAACGAGCAGTTTGGTTTGACTGGGGGAAAGGATATTGTCCAGGAGATGGAGGGGATCCTGCCAACAAAGAAGTTGGGCCTGTACTGCCACAGGATGCAGGATAGGACAGTGGTTGGGAGTGGCTCTGGGCTGGAGGTGTATCTCAGTGGTAGATCACTTGCCTAGCATACACAAAGCCCTGGATTCCATTCCCAGCACCACACAAAAAAATTTTTTTTTAAAGAGTATGGCTCTGGAGCCAGTTTGCTTGAGTGTATCAGTTACTTATGGCTGTGTAACAAGCACCCCCAAAATTTAACCATACAAAACTACCTTTTTATGCTTATAGACTGCAGGTCTGGAGTTGGATGGAAGGTCCAGTAGTCTTCTCTTATCAATGGTTTCAAGTTATGTGGTTTCAGTTCACCACCCATGGTCACATGGCCTCAAATGTTGAAAGGAACATTTTCAGAAACAAACCATTTTCTGGGTGTGGTGGGTGCATGCCTATAATCCCAACATCTCAGGAGGCTGAGGCAGGAGGATTGCAGACCAGCCTCAGCAACTTAKTGAGACCTGTCTCAAAATAAAATATAAAAGGGGCTGAGGATGTAGYTTAGTGGTTAAGTGTCCCTGGGTTAAGTCCCTATTCCTCAAATAAATAAAACTATTTAGAAGTTTTAAGTAATTCTTATTACAGTATATTGTTGTTCTATTTTATTATTAGTTATTATTGCTAATCTGTTACCATGTTAACATGTTAAAATTCATCATGGCAAAGCAAAATATATACAGGGTTCAGTTCTATCTTTAGTTTTAGGCATCCACTTGGAATGTGTCATCCACAAATAAGGAGGGACAATTGTGAATTTTACTGATGAGAGAAACAAAATACCACAGTGTATCCAGGCACAGTGGCATGTGCCTGTAATCCCAGCTGCTCAGGAGGCTGAGGCAGGAGGATCACAAGTTCAAGTTAGAGAGACCCAGTCTAAAACATTTTTTTAAAAAGAATAGAGGGTGCAGCTTAGTGGGAAGGAGCCCTGGGCTCAGTCCCCAGTAATACAAACAACAACAGCGTGATAGTTTCCCTTGCTTCTGTAATGAGCTGCCACAAATATCATGGCACGAAACAACATAAATTCATTCCTGAACAGTTTTGGAGGTCTGGAGTCTAAGGTCAAGGCATCAGCTGGGCTGTGCTCTTCTGGAGCCTGCAGGGGGGTGTTTCCTTGCTTTTTCCAGCTCCTAGGAGGCTTCCTGCAGCTYCTGGCTTGTGGCCCCCTCCTCACTGCACCCCAGCTTAATTCTGTCTTCAAGCTTCTACTCCTGTCACCTTCTTGTCTCCCCACGAGGACCACTGTGATCAATTTTAGGATGTGACTCTTTCTAAATACAATCTGTGTCCCTGGGTTTGTATCCCTGCTCTGTCACTTGCTATCAACATGATTTTAGAAAACTTTATTAACTTCTCAGTGCCTTGGTTTCCCCATCTATAAAGTGGAGATAATAATTCCCGCTCCCCACCTGGGTTGGTATGAGGATTAAATAAGTTAACACATAGAAAGCACTTAGAATGTCACAGGTTATGTATTATTGTTATTATTTTAATTTTTTAAACAGATACAACTTTTTTTATACCTTTATTTTATTTACCCATTTTTATGTGGTTCTGAGAATCAGACCCAGTGCCTCGCACATGCTAGGCAGGTGATCTACCACTGAGCCACAACCCCAGCCCAGTTATGGATTTTTTTTTTTTTTAAAGAGAGAGAGAGAATTTTTTAATATTTATTTTTCAGTTTTTGGTGGACACACATCTTTATTTTATTTTTATGTGGTGCTGAGGATCGAACCCAGTGCCCCGCGGATGCCAGGYGAGCGTGTTACCGCCTGAGCCACATTCCCAGCCCAGTTACGGATTCTTTTAAAATGAGAGTTCATGGTGATTCTTGCTGGCAGTAGGGAGTCATTGATGATCTTACTGTGAGAGCGCCATGATGAAGAGCCCGCGGAGTATTTTACATTGGCCTCCTCTCGGCCGCCCTTCTTTCCTCAGATCCTGCTCTAGACTCCGAATTGACTTCCAAGCTGAAGAGCTACGAATTCMAGGGGAGCCACTTCCAGGTGACCCGGGGGGACTATGCCCCCCTCCTCCAGAAGGTGGTAGATCACCTGGAGAAAGCCAAGGTAGGCTGGCTGGGCTGAGGGGTTTGGGCTCAGGACCCCCTGGGCAGCAGATGGGACTTGGGGACAGGTGGGTGGTCTGAGGCTGACCAACCCTGCTTACCCCCAGGCATATGCAGCCAACAGCCACCAGGAGCAGATGCTGGCCCAGTACATCGAAAGCTTCACCCAGGGATCCATTGAGGCCCACAAGAGGGGCTCCCGCTTCTGGATCCAGGACAAAGGCCCCATCGTGGAGAGGTGAGGTGACCACCTATGCTGCCCTGCCCCTCCTGTCCACCCTCTTCCATCTGCGCCTCTCTCTCCTCCAGTTACATCGGGTTTATTGAGAGCTACCGAGACCCCTTTGGTTCCCGAGGAGAGTTTGAAGGTAACTTGTGGGGGTTGCCGGTGGTCAGGTTGGGATCCTTTCCCCCAAGGCCCAAGTTCATGTTTCTAAGTGTCCCCTTAGAGGTCTCCCCTCCCTGCTCAGGAATAATAACAATAACAACAGCCTTGCAAAATAAAAACCATTTGCCATATTCTGGCACTGTCTCATGAAGCTCATCTATACAGATTCACCCAGATATTGTCATCTGTGAGGATTTTTGTCGGTGGGTGGTGAACCCAGGCACTCCGGCTCCAAGCCAGCTTGCTGTGCTGCCTCTGGTGTATGGTCAGGGCAGGCTCCAGGCAGACAGACATGCATTCTGARCAGGCTTTGCCCGTCACCATCTCTGTGACCTGGGACCATGTAATGTGACCTGTGAGCCTCAGTGAGAGCATATATGCAGTCTGCTGTGCTCCACCGACTGTGAACCTGCCTGTGAGGCTGCCTCAGCCCCCTTCCCCATAACTCCTGGGGCCCCCCTGTGCAGGGCAGGGCATCCAGCCTGAGGATTCGTAATTGCTGGGCTGGTATATCCTCTTCCTCCCCAGACCTAAAGGGAAGTCTAGGCATCCAGCTGCTGAAGCCAGGGAGTAGCTCCAAGGAGGGAGCCCCGTTCCCACAGCCCACTGGGGCTTGTCTGTGAGCCACAGATCCAAGCACAGGGGCCTGAGAGGGAGAAGGGTTCATGTACCTGCAGCTTTCCTACCCAGGGTTTGGTGCAGTAGGGGCCAGGTCTGTCACTAGCAGCTAGCACAGGGCCACAGCACAGAGCAGACATTAATGCGATGGCCACAGGGGTTGAATTGGGTGGTGTGGGATCCCTGCCAGGACTCTTCCAAACCTCCACCCTGTCCTGCCCTGYAGGATTTGTGGCCATGGTGAACAAGGCCATGAGTGCCAAGTTCGAGCGGCTGGTAGAGAGCGCAGAGCAGCTGCTGAAGGAGCTGCCCTGGCCACCGGCCTTCGAGAAGGACAAGTTCCTCACCCCAGACTTCACCTCCCTTGATGTCCTCACCTTCGCTGGCTCTGGCATCCCTGCTGGCATCAACATCCCCAACTGTGAGCTTCCTTGGTACCCCTAGCCACCAGGAGCCCATGGAGAGCCGCCCCTCCCCTCCACAAATGGCCCTGCCCTGTTCGCCCTCCAGGCCACTCCTCGCCCCTGACACTCCTCGTCCACCTCTCTGGTCCCCTCCTGGCCTTCTCTTCCAGACGACGACCTGAGGCAGACSGAAGGCTTTAAGAACGTGTCCCTGGGGAACGTCCTGGCTGTGGCCTATGCCACACAACGGGAGAAGCTCACGTTCCTGGAGGAGGAGGACAAGGTGGGCGCCAGCAGCCCGAGGGGCGGGGCCGGCCTCACCTGGCCTGGCAGGTTCAGGAAGGCAGACAGCCCAGAGCTGTGGCAGGGACAGCACTCTGGTCGGAGCTTGGCCATCTCCCTGCCAGTGACTGGTGGCCCTGTGGAGCCTGTGTGCTTTCTGGTCATGACGAAGGCACCCCTCCCTCCTGGGTTGTTGCTACGTGGGGTCGGAGTGCACTCAGCCTCCTCCAAGCACACGCACCACGACGGGCCTTCTACCTGCAGGCCAAGCACAGGGGCCTGAGAGGGAGAAGGGTTCATGTACCGTGGTGGGACGTGTGACAGCGGGGACTCTGCTTGCCTTGGCAGGACCTGTACACCCGCTGGAAGGGGCCCTCCTTTGATGTGCAGGTGGGGCTGCACGAGCTGCTGGGCCATGGCAGTGGCAAGCTCTTTGCCCAGGTGAGAAGGGTGCCACCCTGTGCCCGCAGGAGCCTCCCTCACCCCCACAACCCGACTCGGAAGGGAAGCTGCTCTGCCCTGGGGGGCTTTGGGGAAGAGGGCTCCTTAAGCAGGAAGAAAGGCTCTGTCTTGTCTTCCCCAAGATGACAGGGGTCTCCAGAACAGTTCCATTGGTGGCCCTTGAACCAGGAAGAATTGCTGGGCTTGGGCTGAGGAACCCACCTTGAGGGTGTGACCTGGGCAGCTGCAGGGACAGAGGCTGGGAGGGTCAGCCTTGGGGTGGCGCCGAGGCTGCAGGACTGTCTTCAYATGGCTGTTCCCCGAGCCTGTACCTTCCTAGGTATTTTAGGGAGCCACTTCTCCCCAGAGATGTCCCAACCTGCCACTGTGGCCAGAGCCCTTGACACCCACTAGGGGAATATGGGAAAGACAGCTGAGGAAGCYGTGGGCCCAGCAGGGAGCCACACAGATGAGATGAGTCCTAGGACTGCGGTGTGCGGGCATCGGTGTGGTGCTCGAACTGCCACCCTGCTGCTCCCTGGCTCGCCTTTGTGAGCTGAGCCTTGGCCTGGGGACCCCAGAGCTGAAGATCCCCGCCTCCCTTACCCATATTCCTGCAGGATGAGAAGGGAGTGTTCAACTTTGACCAGGAGACAGTGATCAATCCAGAGACGGGGGAGCAGGTGAGGACAGGCTCTGTGGAGCCCCACTCTGTGGAGCCCAGGGTGCAGGGTGCTGGGTGCGGGCAGGGTCAGGACTTGACTCATGGCTCTCCTCCCAGATTCAGAGCTGGTACCGGAGTGGGGAGACCTGGGACAGCAAGTTCAGCACCATYGCCTCGAGCTACGAAGAGTGCCGGGCTGAGAGCGTGGGCCTCTACCTCTGCCTCAACCCCCAAGTGCTGGAGTAGGAGCAGTGGACGTGCAGGGGGTGTGGGTGCCGGCGGGGAGGTAGGGCCGCCCTGACTGTGCCTGCTCCTTGCCCCTCCTCCCCCAGGATCTTCGGCTTCAAGGGGGCTGATGCGGAAGACGTGATCTACGTGAACTGGCTCAACATGGTTCGGGCTGGGCTGCTGGCTCTGGAGTTCTACACCCCAGAGGCCTCCAACTGGCGCCAGGTGGGACTGGGCCTCCCTGAGGAGGCAGACGGAGCCAAGCTCAGAGTTGTGGGTGCAGGGACAATGGTACTTGTGAGGCAGGTGGACAGGGTTTAATCCAGAGTCCACGGTTGGTGGGACAAGTCATGTCACTGCAGTGAGCTTTAGTGCCCCTGCCTGGGAGGTGGGAGGCACCGTCTCTCCCTGGCCACCTTTCAGGGTCAATCAAGTAGACATTTTTGCTGTCACTAACGGATGCCTGACTGCTCCTGGCACAGTGCTCACTTGGTGCACTACTGAACTGTTGCCCCCACTTTCAGCCCCAGGAGGGAGGCAGTTTTATTACCTCACTGTAGAGATGAGGAATTCGAGGCACAAAGAGATCCATTAACTTGCTGYTAAGGAAGAGACGGGATTCAAATCCCCACAGTCCACCTCCAGAGCCATTAGATTCAAGTGCTCATTTTTAGCATGGGTTTTGGAAAAAGTAAATAATAGCAACTTTTTTACAAAATCAAGAAAGTGTGGTTTGAGGAGGCAGTTTTATGTTATCAAAAGTATACACATTTTAGAATCTGGAAACTGGGGTCTGAGTCCTGACTATTTATTTAACAGCTGTGTGTGACCCTGAGTAAGTCACTGTACCTATCTATAAGCTGGGGATAATGATRCCTATTTGGTCCTGCTGTTTAGCACAAATAAGATTGTGGAGCAGAAAGTGCTCAAGGTCCTGAAAGTGAGGGGCCTTCAGGGGTAGCTGCTGTCCTCGGAGGGTCTGGAGGAGCAGGTGGCATGTTGGGTGACATAGGGGACCAAGAATACCAGGTCCTACCTAGAAATAGTCTCCCTATCCCCCAGGGCAGCTTGCCCTCCCTGTGAGCAGAGAAGGGGAAAGAAGCATTTGAAGTGAGATCAGAAAAAAATTCAGAGGATCAGGGAGAAGAAGATGACAGTAATAATTGACAGTAAGCCCCTGGGGCACATTAGGCTTAGACCAAGCATTTGATATTGGCTACAGATGACCTCTTTCCCCCTGACCCTGGCAGGCTCACATGCAGGCCCGATTTGTGATCCTGCGGGTCTTGCTGGAGGCGGGCGAGGGACTTGTGACCGTCACTCCCACTACCGGTTCTGATGGCCGCCCAGATGCCCGGGTCCGCCTAGACCGCAGCAAGATCCGGTCTGTGGGCAGGCCTGCGCTGGAGCGGTTCCTGCGGAGACTGCAGGTGAGTGAAGGCCTCGTGCCTTGAAGCCCCCCAACTTCTGCCCCATCTCCCCACACTGCTGACACCTCCTCACAGCCTCAAGGTTATTCCTTTAGTCATTCAGCAAGTGTCCCCCTGTGATTGGTTTCTCACTGTGGGGAGGCAAGGACAATGAAGCAAAAGAAAGTTAGAGATTAAAAATCATTAGATCCAAAACACAAGGCAGCATCTTGGGTTGGACCCTGGAATAGAAGACGGACACTAGTGGGAAATTAGATGGAGTTTAAGTTAATAGTAATTGACCAGGTATATAAGAGGTACCAAGAAGGGAAATTGCACTAGGGGCTTATGGGAGCTCACCGGACTATCCGTGCAACTTGGCAATAAGTCTTAAATCATTCCAAGTTCAAATCTATTGCTAATAACAAGCCATTAGATGAAAGAATCAAATCTACCAACCCCAAGGCCAAATTGAACTGCCACTGAGCATTGAATTGGCGTGGAACTTTCTGGGAGCCCCTCTTAAGGACTGAGCCAGGTGGTTCTCTGTATTGGGAAAATCATGCAGCATCATGGACAGTGTCCTCAGCAACAATTGTACAGAAATTATGGAATACAGGTGACTATATGTTATATCAGCCTCCATAACAGCTAAGGGCCCAGCAGTGAGACGGCAGACAGGGAAAGTTTTCAGCCAGGGGTCCCAAACAGCCATATTTTTGACCCACCTAGTTTGATAAAATTTCGCAAAGGTATAAATCTATATTTCTGGCTTCTTGGAAACTACCATTCACAGGCTTAATTCCCACATGAGGAACTGCTAGGGGAGCTGAGCCACAGCCCAGGGCTGGACATGGCGTGGGCTCTCTGGTTGGCGTGGTCCTCACCATTCCCTGTCACTCAGACGTCAGCCTTCTGTGTCCATGGGTTCTATGTCTGTGGATTCAACCAGCTGCACAGTGGAAATATTTGGGGGGAAAGTCGTGTATGTACTGTCTTTTTTTTTTTTTTTTTTTTGTCATTATTCCCTAAACATCTGTATACACAGCATTTACATTTTCTTAGGTATGGCAAATAATTTGAGATTATTTATAATATATTCAAATGGGTGCCTAGGTTTGAGGCAAGTATCTGAAACAGGGGACTTGAGCATTCATGGATTTTGGTGTTCATGGAGGGTCTGAGACCAGGCCCTGTGGGCGAGGCCTCCACCTGCCTAAACCACTTGGGTAGGACACTGTCTGCCTCCCCTTGGCATGTGTTGCCAGCTGTCCCATTTGAACTCCCAGAATCTACACATCAGCTTGATTGGTGGGTACTCAGCACCTTGTGGGTGTTAGTGCTGTTAAGAGGGAGAGGTGAGCCTTTCCCCAGGGCTCCCAGTTGGTTCTGTTTGCTCCACTGCTGGGAAAGTCATTCTAACCCTGGGTCTAAGAAGGCAGAGGCTGTCCAGGAGAGAGCCTAGCCTCAGGGCCTGTTTTGTCACTTGCAGATGAGCAGAACAAACAAGGGTCAGACCCACAAAATGTCAGATACTTGGCAAAGAACCAAATAGAGCGCCTTGAAATAAACTAGATAATGACTGGAATTTAAAAAGACAGATTAACTAAGGCAGAATAAACAGGTTTTAGATCGAGCTGACTGTAAAAGAAATCATAAACCATGTGTAACAGAGAAACAAAGATAGGGAATTTAAGGGAGGCTAAGAGACATGGAGGAGAGTGTGAGAAATTCTAATGTACATCTAACTGAAGTTCCAAAGGAAAAGGAGAGAGAAGTGATAGAAGGAACATGAGAACAGATAATAGCTGAGAATAATCTAGAATTGATTAAAGACTTCAATTTATAAATCCAGAAAGCTAAAAAAAAAAAACAAAACAGGAAGGACAAGTGAAGCCTCTACCTAGAAATATCATAGATGATACAGAATATCAGAGACAAAGACCCTCAAAACAGCTGAAGAAGAAGACACACTACCTTAAGAACAGTAATTAGACCTAGAGCTTCCATAGCTATCCAGGAAGCCAGAAGACAGTGGAACCGCATCTGCCAAGTGCTGAGTAGATTACTGTCAGGACCCAGTAACTCATCTTTTAAGAATAGGAGTGATTAGGCTGGGGTGTTGCTCAGTGGTTAGTGCTTGCCCAGCATTCACCAGGCCTTGGGTTCTATCCCCAAAAGCAGCAAGAACAACGATGGATTAAAGACATTTTTAAACAAGCAAAACAGTTTTCCATTAACAAACAAACAAAATACTAAATAAAATTTAGTAATAAAATTTCTGTAGGACATGAGAAAAAAAGAAAAATCAGCTCCAGATACGAGGTTTGATAAACCTAAAAAAATGGTGTAATGCAGATAATAATAAATACAAGGGTTTAAGTTACAGTGTGAACTTTGTACATCAATACAAAGGTTCAATTCCTGGGGTTACAAAAGAGCATGAAATACTGGACCCCAGCATCATATATGCCATGGGATAGATACTCTTACAATCTGTTTATAATTTGGGAGAAGGATGAAAAGTTCCATCAATTTTATTAAATGCATTTGCTATAATTTCTRGGGTAGACACTAAAATAATAGAGTATAATTCTAAAATTCATCTTAAAAGAAAACAAGAAAGGAGGGGAAAAATTATCAGACCTACCTATAATTTTATAGCAAAAAATAAATAAATAATGATAATAAYTTGATTTAACCATGGGCAAAAGACCTGAACAGATATTTCTCCAAAGACAACATACAAATGGCCCACCAGTGTATAAAAAGATGTTCAACCTCATCCGGCGTGGAGGTGCATGCCTATAATCCCAGCAGCTCAGGTCGCTGAGGCAGGAGGATTGCAAATTCAAAGCCAGCCTCAGCAAAAGCAAGGCACTAAGCAAAAGAGTGAGATTCTGGCTCTAAATAAAATACAAAATAGGATTGGGGATGTGGCTCAGTGGTCGAGTACCCCTGAGTTCAATCCCTCGTACCCGCCCTCAAAAAAAAAAAAAGTTGAGCATTCATGTACCCAACAGATCATCAATTCTAGAAAAACCTGCACATCTTCATCAGAAGAGGTACTAGGGGACTCACAGCAGCATTTAACAGCAAAAGCACAGATCAGCGCTAGGATGTAGCTCAGTGATAGAGTGATGCTCACATGCAGGAGGCCCCAGGTTTTGTTTTTTTGTTTTTTTTCACCACCACCACAGCTGTTTATTAAGTGCTTGCCAGGCACTGTGCTAAAGCTTTACAGACATTGTTTCGGTTAATCCAACAACCCTGAGGTAGATATTTTCAGTGGCTCCCTACCCCCACCCCCATATATCATTAGAGTTGAGGAAACTGAGGCTCAGAGAGGTTAAGTAAATCAACTGAGGTCAAATTCAGCTAGTAAGTAGCAAAGCTAGTAATCTGAACACATCTGACTCCAAAACCCATGCTTTTAAACACTATGCTAGATTTTTCCCACTGAAAGGAAAAGGGCACATGCTCCTTCTCAAAATATTAGAGCAGATTTTTGGTGGGGAATGGGGAGTGTTTTTAACTCCCTAAATYAGCTCTTGTACTCAATTCTTGGAGGAATGGAGAATAGTCTGGGGATAAGCTAACCGCTGGGCCCCTTTCTCCTGTTTCCCACCCTCTAGGGCTGTTCTCATCTGACACCTCCCCATTCTTGACGCCAGACTACTCAATATGCTATTTTCCTTCCAGCAACCACTAAAATACCAAGGTCAGCCAAACTTGGTGACACTGGGCCAAAGACCTGAGAGAATTTAGGAAACATTCACAAAATGCCTGAGACTGGGTAATTTATAAAGAGTAGACAGTTATTTCTCACACTTCTAAATCTAGGAAGTCTGAGATCCAAGTATTAGCAGGTTCAGCATCTGGTGAGGACTACTCTCCTCTTCCAATGTGGTGTCTTGTTGCTGTATTCCCGGGACAGGAGGAACTCTGTTCTCACATGGTGGAAGGCAGAAAGGCCTGCTGATGCAGGAAGTTTCTTTTTTTTATAAGGGCCARTCCCATTCACAGAGCCCTCATGGCCCAAGCACCTCTTAAAGGCCCCATCTCTTAATACCATCACATTAGCCATTAAGTGTTAACTCTGAATTCTGGACTCAACACATTCAACCACAGCACGGACCCTTCGGGGCTGGGCACTGCCAGCCGTGGCCCCTGGCAGAGTCCTATGGACATAGGGGAGTGCCCATCCTAGACACCTGTTCCTTCCTTCCTGCAGGTGCTGAAGTCCACCGGGGATGTGGCTGGAGGGAGGGCCCTGTATGAGGGTTATGCGGCTGTCACTGATGCGCCCCCCGAGTGCTTCCTCTCTCTCAGGGACACGGTGCTGCTGCGCAAGGAGTCACGGAAGCTGATTGTTCAGCCCAACACTCGCCTTGAAGGTAATGGACTTGGGGCTCCCTTGATGGGGACCCAGGGAAGGCTGTCTGGGGTGGTCCTTCCCCTGACAGATCTCAGCATTTACCACCAAACACACACACACACACACACACACACACACACACACTCACTCTCTCTCTCTCTCTCTCTCTCTCTCTCTCTCTCTCTCTCATGGTTATCAGTGGCAGCAGGTCTGAGGAAGGCTGGCATAGCAGGGGCTCGTGGGGAGGCCAGGCCAGTAGCTGGAGAATTGTGGCTGCTGGGTGCCAGATCAGGAAGGGCAAGGAGCTGGGACTCTGCAGGCTGAGCAGAACCCAAAGGAGAACTTGGTAGTGTCCAGGATGAGGGTCAGCTCTGTCCTTCCTCTGCCTTCTCAATGACAGTTCCATTTTCAAAAGTCCCGGCTCTCCCTGCATGGTACTTGTGCCTTCTGTGCCCTTACATTTCTTTAACCTACTGAGCCCACTGCACCCCGGCACCTCTTTACACACYGTTCCATGTGCTTGGCATGATAGTGCCAATCTGTGCCTGTCTGGTACGTTCAGGTCCCTGTTAAATGACACCTCCTGAGAGGCACTTGCCCCACACTCTCAACATAAAGTAACCTACTCCCATCCCTCTCTATCCTTCAGCTTCATTTTCCTTCTGTGTCTATCATGATTGGACATTTTCTTGTCCATCTCATCTCCAGAAGTGGTATACTCCTGCCCCTAGCGTGGGCCTGGCATGCAACAGCTACTCTCTATGGTCAAATGAAATGAATGAGTGAATCCTGCCGGCCCCATGGACAATATCATCATTGCTTTGATATGTCCACCCTGTGTTAGCCACTGAGGGGTGGAGACATGAAAGGTACCCAGGCCCTCCCCTTGAGTAGTTCACAGCCCATTAAGAATGATTAGGCATGGAGGTAATTATACAAGGGAAGYATTAACAAGTGCCCAGAAGATACCAAAAGTGCACTGAACACATGGAGGAGGAAAGATCCCATCTGCCTTCAGAGAATCTGGGAAGGTTCTAGGGAGGAAGTGGTTAAACTAGACTGAAGAACAGGTTGGATTATCAAAGGTAATAGTTRTGATGGTGAGGTGATAATGATGATAGCTAAATTTGGAGGACWCCTGGGTGCCAGGTACTGGGTGAAAACTTTCCATGAATTAACTCTCAACAACTCAGAAAGGAATGGTTATTATCCCCATTTTTCAGCTGGAAACAAACAGAGACACAAAGGGGCTGCATATTGACCTGGGATCACACAGTTAGTGGGACACAGAGTCAGGACTTGATCCATCTGAACCCATAACCTCCGCTTTTATCATGCACCTCAAGATGCTGTGGAGCGCACCAAGGTGCTGTGAGAGGCTAGAGCAGCTGAAGTGAGTTAGAGGGGAGTGCTTCCCCATGAGTACTCAGGGGACTCTCCGAACAAGCCCATTTCACAGGTGAGTGATCAGCTCAGATGCTGCTCTGCTGGTGGATAGCATTTGTGAGCACCCACTTGATGCACTATTGTATGTAATTCCTCAGCTCCTTGAGAGAAGAGGCACTATGCTCACCCCACTTTACAGATGAGGAAACTGAGACTTAGGGAAGTTGGGAAACTTGGCCGTGGTCTAGACAGGTATGAAGCMATTGCTGGACTGTAAGACCCATGAGGCCAAGCACTATATCTGTTTCATCTAACACGGCACCTGGTGTTAATCTTAAGGATGAGAGGGGGGAGTTTCATTACTATTCTCCCTGTAATATTTCCTTCCCTGAAAGATGACTATGAGGACTAAGTTAGAAACTATCAACTTAAATATTGAGCACAATTTGTGGCCCAAGAGAAGAGCTCAGTAAGAACTAGGAGCTCCTGTGACATCACTGTGATTGTACTTCTCTTAAGATCTTTCTGCTGCTATTTTCTCTCTGTCCATTCCCAGGCTCAGAAGTGCAGCTTCTGGAGTACGAGGCCTCAGCTGCTGGCCTCATCAGATCCTTCACAGAGCGCTTCCTAGAAGATGGACCTGAGTTGGAGGAGGTCCTCACCCAGCTGGCCACAGCTGATGCCCGGTTTTGGGAGAGCCCCAGTGAGGCCCAGTCTGGCCAGGCTTGAGAAGATTTGTGTGGCCCTGCCCCCCACTCCATCAAACCAGGACTACCAGTGGCCCTCCAATGTGTGTGTAGCTATGGGTCAGCGGAGGGGCAGGAGCTCAAACTTTGGTGCTACCTCATCTGAGGGTGGTGATGCTAACCCCTTCCATTTGTCAGCACTTTCCAGTTTACCAAGTGCATCTCCTCTGTGATTTGAGCTGCACTGCCATGTATGGAGAGCATACGCAGGGCTTCTTGTCCTGTTTCCCAGATGAGGAACTGGTAGTTCAGTGACTGGTCTAGATCTTGCAGGTGGCGTGTGACAAAAAGCCAGGGCTCAAAATCTTCTCACCAAATCCAATGCTCTTCATGTATTACTTTTATAACCAGAAAAATAAATAATAGAAACAACCACCATCTTACAGTGTGCATGATTTCTCCTTTTTGCTGAAACCTAGGGAATGGGCAGGAGGGTAATTTTTGCCCTCCTGTCCACAACAGGATTTTGACATCATGAATAAACCAGGATGCACAGTCACACATAGGACAATTTTAGCAGCCCTCCTTTACTACGTTTCTTGCACTTTAAATTATTCCAGGAGCCTAAAAACTAGAGACTGGCAACTTGGGTCAGGATACTCCACGCTGTCCCTTAACCCTTGTGTTTAGTTTCCCGGAGCCTGAGCCTCTACAGAAAGGCAGCCTCTTCTACCAGGTTAACCTTGTTGGTGTTCAAGGCCTATCAGGGGCTCCTCTCCAGGCCTCGAAGCCAGAGACCCCTATCCCTGCCCCAGAGATTGCAGGAACCAGAAGCCATAAAGCAAAATAAGAGAGATGAAGAGACTGTGCCTCAGCGCGTTGCACTAGCGTGAAAGCCAGTGCGTTCAGCATGGGGTCTCCAGGCTCTGGTCCGGAAAGCTTCTCCCCGGAACCCTTGTACACGCGCTTCCCCGTGCCCGGGCGTGATTGGACGCTGCGCMGCGGGGGAGGCGGGGCCAGTTGCCTAGACGACGTCTGCGAAGATGGCTGCTGCGTCTTCACCTGATTCCGACAGCGGCCTAGCTGAGAGGTGAGGGCCCGGGTTCTCAAGGTGTCCTTTCCCACACGTGTAACGAGGGTGCCTTGGCCGCCGGACTCCGGGATCCTGCGGCTCTTGCGCAGCGCTGACAGTCCTGGAAGGACTCTTGGGAGAAGGGAAACCGTTGCCCTAGGAGTGCAAGTGTGAGCCGTAGGGACCCGGACCCAGGCGTTCAGAGCTCACTGCACTCCTCGGTCTCAGGCATTAACTAGCTCCCCCAAAGTTTCCTTACCCTCGCGTGAGACCCACTCCCCAATTTCCCCCCCATTTCCAGCAATGAGGCCAATTCGAAATGGCTGGACGCGCACTACGACCCCATGGCCAACATCCATACCTTTTCCGCCTGCCTGGGTGAGTCTTTGGAATCGGGAACCCCTGGTGCTAGGAGGGTGCGGGAGTAAGATTCCATGGCGAAGGATTTTGAGACTCTGATTTATGGTCTTTTTGTTTATTCCAGCCCTGGCAGATTTGCACGGGGACGGAGAGTACAAGGTAAACCAGTCACCCCAGCAGAGTTGGGGGTGGGGAAGTACCCCAAAGTGAGATTTTTCCGTTGGCTCCAAAGAGATTTAGCATAATCTGGAATTCACGTGTACAGTGAAGGATGCACTTTTAGGGCTAATTTTATTTTTGCTTCTAAAGTGAAAGAAACCTATTGATTTTCTAATCCAGATTGAAGAAGTTTGTAAAGCACAACAGAATGCTGTTGGGGATTCTACCAAGRACTGCTTTTTAATTTAGTTACCTTGACATGATTCTTTGCTGGAAGAGCAAATTCCTTAGCTAGGGGCAGACAATAAAGTCTGGAGGGAAGTGAGAGTTTTATGTTTATCAAGAGACCACTGATTTTAGGATTGGCCATGAGGTGATTTTTTTTTTTTTTTTTTTTTGGTGCTGGAGGGGTCTTATGCATGCAAGGCAAGCACTCTACCAACTGAGCTCTGTCCCCAGCCCTAAGCTGATAATGGGTTTATGGGGATTCATTGTACAAGTTTCTCTACTTTTCTTTGTGATTGGGAATTTTCCATAATAAAAAGGTAAATTTTAAATTTAATTTAAATATAAATATAATAAAAATACAAATAAATAAGTTTTTAGCCCAGTGGTAGAGCAATTGTGTATTATGTGCAAGGTCTTAGATGAAAGGGGGGAGACAAAAAGAGATGAATAATGAATGGATAAATAAAAACATCAGCTGCCAGCTATTTCTTWCCAGGTTCTGTAATTCATTATCTCATTTGGTTTTCACCACTTGTATCATGAAGTACCTAGGTGTTCCCTGCTTGGCTGGAAAGCCTCACACCCAGTCAGGGAGGTGCCCAATCGCGTGCGAGAACAGCTTCCCACAGGAAACCTGAGCTCTGAAAGGTTGATTAACTTTCCCAAAGGCACATGACTTATAAGCCTGATGGCAAGTCCTTTGTTGGTATGAGGATAAAGAAATGAGCATTAGTAAAAAGGCCCAGCCCAAGAAGAGGGTCTTGGGAGAGATCTCTTGGACCCTGAGCCTGGGATGAGCAATTTTTTCCCTGCAGCTGGTGGTGGGAGATCTTGGCCCTGCTGGGAAGCATCCCCGTCTGAAGGTGCTCAAAGGACCAACAGTGCTGGCAGAAAACCCATTGCCTGCTCTGCCAGCTGCTGCTGCTGCCTTCCTCATGGAGGAACAACACGAGACCCGGACTCCAGCTCTGGCACTTGCTTCAGGCCCTTGTGTCTATATATATAAGAATCTTAGGCCCTACTTCAAGTTCAGTCTTCCCCCTTTATCTTTAAACCCTCTGGAACAAGACCTTTGGAACCAAGCTAAGGAGGTAAGCAACATTGGGCATGGGAACAAGAAGGCAAAGATGGCATAGGGTGAAGAGGGCCAGGCTCTGTGCTGGAAGAGTGGGCGCATAGGTGGGCCAGTGGTGGGAGGTTGGCCATAGTTCATCTCCAACAGCATCAGAGGTGGCCCTTCTGGGTAAGGTGCTAGTTCAGTCCCTAAGCAGTTGCTCCCAGAGAGGCATTCAACCAGGGCTTTTGAAGAGCAGAACTCAGAGAATCCTCTGCATTTAGCCACACTCTTGCCCATCTGTGGAGTGAGGGAAACCAAAGAAAGAAGTGGCCCACAAGAGGAAAGTAGGGCACTAGAAGCAGCGAGAGTAAGGGACTTTGAGGGAGGATAATGTGGGTGGCCTTGGCCCCAAGGCCGGATTCAAATCAAGGAAGCTGGGGCTCAGTGCAAGAAWGTTGGGAGGGAAGTAGAAAGGAAGAGGAACCCCTGGAAGTGTGGGCTCCCTGAGGACATGGATGCTGGAGCTCACAGGCTCTTCTTTTTTCTCTTGCTGTCACAGGACCGGATAGACCCCTTGACCCTGAAAGAGATGCTGGAGGGCATCCGGTGAGAGCCCACCTCCCCCATGACCCCTCCCACCCCCACTCCTGCATCCCAAAGCTCTGACCCTTAGGGGCCATTCTTCCACCAAACCTGCCATACTGGCCACTCTTCTTGCAGGGAGAAGGCAGAGGTGCCTTTGTCTGTACAGTCACTCAGGTAAGGATCCTAGGAAGAGCCAAGGGAAGGGAGTGGCCATGGACTGGGCTGGGAAATGGACATACCACTTCTCTGTGTCCAGGTTTCTACATCTAGAGCTGAGTGAAATGGAGGCATTTGTGAACCAACACAAGTCCAAGACCATCAAGCGGCAGGTAACACTCCTTTCTTCCTTCCTTCCATCCATCTATCTGTCCTTTTCCACCCCCACTCTGGTATGGGTGCTCACCATTGAGCTGCATTCCCAGCCCTTTTTATTTTTTAGTTTTGAGACAGGGTCTTGCTGAGTTGCTCAGGCTGGCCTTGAATTTGTGATCCTCCTGATTAGCTGGGGTTATAGATGTGTGCCACCATGCCTGGCACCCCCTTCTCTTTTTATTACCCTGTAAAAAATATTTACTTTTTTTTAAACCATATAACATCAGTGGCAAGTTCTACAACCAAACCAGACCAGTTTGAGTTTGCAGTTTCCTTTCCAGCCACACCACATATATAGAGTCATAAAACAGCAGTACCTTCTACATGTACAGTTAACAGTTACAGCTTTTAACACATAAATATATAATCTTATATAACTTGCATATAGCTTTTATTTTATTGAGGGTAAAGGTATTTTTGGAAAATAAGGAGAATTGTAAAGGGGAAATGTAAATGACTCTAATTTCACTAACCAGAGATTATTACTCTTATCATTTTGGTACATTTCCTTCACAAATAGTCCTGTACATTCTACTTCCCTTGAGTATGTAACATTAAATTTTGAACCTCAAATAATCTTCAAGAACTCCCATTTTTAGGCCCAGGCACAGTGGTACACATCTGGAATCACAGCTACTTGGGAAGCTGAGGCAGGAAGATCACAAGTTTGAAGTCTCAGCATCTTAGCAAGATCTTGTTTCAAAATGAAAAGGTCTAAGGTGTAGTTCAGCAGTAGAACAACCCTGAGTTCAATCCCTAGTACTGCAAAAAAAAAAAAAAAAAACCAGACCTTTATTTTTAGTAGCTCTTGATTATTTCATTGGTTATTAGTTAGTTTATGTAGCCATTCCATCTGAACATTGGGCAAGAAATGCTTCCCTTTTATTCCCTCCATATTTTTCATGGGACCATCCACACCTGTAGAGGCCACCTTAACTGAATGTGCTGGCCAACACATGCTGCGCTGTTAACATGATCCTCAGTTCTCTGAGAATCATTGCTCGTTCCTGCCTATCAACAGCTCAGGTCTTTAGTTATTAGCATCTTTGAGTACTCTTCAAACTGAGAAATGGATTAATTATCTGGAAGAGAAGGGGACAATTTTCCCAAGCATGTGTTATGGTTAAGTGACTGGGAACACTAATGTCCATCCATGTCTCTGTGACCTTTAATCCTGTGTGCTGAGAATGATCCCTATTTTTTGTTCTTAATGATGATCACACAGTGGACAGCTAATTTTCCCAAAGATAAATGTTTTGGTTCTGCTAATATTCATGTGAGAAATTCCTTAGAAAGTGAGCATCCTTTTTCTTATTTGTTGTCTAATTTTAATTACAAAAGAACATGTGCGGGCTGGGCATAGACGCGCAGGCCTATAATTCCAGCAGTTCCGGAGGCCAAGGCAGGAGGATCTCGAGTTCAAAGCCAGCCTCAGCAAAAGCAAGGCACTAAGCAAGTCAGTGAGACCCTGTCTCTAAATAAAAAATAAAATTGGGCTGGGGATGTGGCTCAGTGGTCAAGTGACCCTGAGTTCAATCCCCTGTACAAAAAAAAAAAAAAAAATTGTCCATTGTAATCCTAAAAAACCCTCCATGATTTCATTGTCAGAGATAAACAGTCTTTGTATTTGAGGGCTTAACTTTTCAGCAGTTTTTTGTTGTTGTTTGAGACCATATCTCAAAATAAAATTTAGAAAGGGCTCTCAGTGGGAGAGCACCCTGGGTTCAATCCCCAGTACCATTTTTTTTTTTTTTAAAAAGGAGGGGCTGGGGTTGTGGCTCAGCAGTAGAGCACTTGTTTAGCATGTGCAAGGCCCTGGGTTCAATCCTCAGTACCACATAAAAATAAATAAATAAATAAAATAAAGGTCTTGTGTCCAACTACAACTAAAAAATAAATATTTTTTTAAAAAGGAAAGAAACAGGATCATGATACGGGATCATATAATGTGCCCTTTTCACACTGAAGTATATGATCATTGTCTTTCCTTATATATAAAATCACAGCCCAAGGCCTATGCATGGTAGGCAATCACTTTACCACTGAGCTAGACCCCCAGCCCTCTTCCAGCATGTTTATATATTTTAAATTGTGATTTTACAAACGTGACTTTACCTATTGTTTTTCTCTCCCATTAGAAGCATTCCCTATGTCATTGAATTTTTTAAAACATAATTTTTAGGAAACGTCCACGTTGATTTGATCACAGAGATAGCTCATAATTGACTTACTGTTTCCTTTTGTTGTTGTGAGGAAGTTAGGTTTGTTGCATAAACATGTTTGCACATAAATCTGTCACATCTCTGATGCTTCCTTGTCGTCCTCGTCCTCCTCTTTCTTTGCCTTCTTTCTTCCTTCCTGTGACATCAGGGATATCTGGGGGATGGTGTAGGATTCCTTGAGTGACCTCTAGAGTCCTTCTGCAGACAGTCATCACCACCATGATCACCTTGAAGAAAAACCTGGCTGATGAGGATGCCGTGTCATGCCTGGTGCTGGGCACTGAGAACAAAGAGATCCTAGTACTGGACCCTGAAGCCTTCACYATTTTGGCCAAGGTCAGTGTTGGGTCTGACTGACCCTGGGAACACCCAAGATCCAGGCTACAGTCCCTCCCTTTTCTCCCACATAGTTCTGGGTAGGACACATTCACTGTAGAAAAATTAGAAACTATTGATAAACACAAAGAAAAAAATATTTGAATTCATATCCCCAAATCCCACCACCCACAGAAATCTACTATTAAAATTTTGTCCAGATATAGTAGCACCTGCCTTTAATCCCAGCAGCTCAGGAGGCTGTGGCAGGAGGATTGCAAGTTCAAGCCAGCCTCAGCAATTTAGTGAGGCTCTAAGCAACTTAGTGAGACCCTGTCTCAAAATAAAAATTAAAAAGGGCTAGGGATGGTTCCGTTGGTTAAGCACTTCTGGATTAAATCCCCAGTACCAAAAAAAGAAATAAAGAAAAAATTTGGAGGGCAAATATCCTTCTGCCTGTGGTTGGAAAGCAGGAATTTTCCCCACTTTCTGGATAAGGAAGCAGGTTGGAGACAGTTTCTTATATGGATATAGATATATAACTTTACATGTTTATAAAAAACAGGATCATGGTTGGGCATGGTGGAGCATGCCTATAATCCCAGCAACTCAGGAGGCTGAGGCAGAAGGATTGCAAGTTCAAGGCCAGCTTTAGCAATTTAGTGAGATCTTATCTCAAAATAATATATAGAAAGGGCTAGGGGTGTAGCTCAGTGGAAGAACATCCCTGGGTTCAATTCCCAGTCCCATTTTTAAAAAAGAAATTTAAAAAACAGGATTATAATACAGGATCATGTAATGAGCTCTTTTCACATTGAAGTATATGATCAATTAAGGATATGGTCATATGATTAAAACCACATCAGCCTTTTTAAAGGCCACACATATCCATTATCTAGAGTAGCCTAATTTATTTAACCTGCCATCTGTTGTTGGGCACTTAAGTTGCTTTCATTTTTTTCACTACTAGGAACACCAGTGCAGTAGACATCCTTGCCCGAGCATCTTTGGGTGCTTGTAGAAACACTGCCCTTTGACTAAACTCTATTCCTAGATGCAACAGAGTTTAGCCAAAGGGATAGACTAAAAGACTTTTGCTACATATTGCCACGTTTCCCTCCAGAAAAAATTATATGAGTCTAACCTGTGACCAGCAGGGAGCAAATGAGGAGACAGAAAGTTTTGACAAGGAAGGAGTTACTTGAGATAAGGAAGATTTTTAGATGACTCAAAGGAGTTACTTCAAACCAGGGAGGGGCTGGGGCTCTGAGAAAACAGGATGTTTGAGCCTCTTCTTTGCAGATGAACCTTCCCAGCGTCCCAGTCTTCCTGGAGGTTTCTGGCCAGTTTGACGTAGAGTTCCGGCTTGCAGCTGCCTGTCGAAATGGGAACATCTATATCCTGAGAAGGTAGCCATGGCCTCCAGGCCAGAGGAATGTTGCAGAAACCTGGTTTTCTCAGGGGGTTGGCAAATGAACAAGGGGGCTTGGGGACTCTGATATGGGAATGAAAAGAGCTGAGAGTTTTATAAAAGAGACTGAGCCCATGAGCACAGAGGGAATATCTGGAGGCTGTGAGACAAGGACTGGCAAAGCAAGAGCCTGGTGAGGTAGCCACAGTAGGTGAGCAATGCAGTCAGAAAGCAAGGAAATAGAAAGTCTCTTGTATTTGTTATATCAATTTATAGTGTATGTGACACTTCCTTATGCACTAGTTTTATATTTCATGCAACATTTTTAAATTCCCAAAATATTTATTGAGCACCTACCATTTATTAAGCACTGTGCAAGGAATCGGGGCTATGCTCATAAACAAAACACTATAAATATGGTCCCTTCCTTCATGCAAGAGGCATGTGTTAAAGTCAACAAACCAAGATATTCCAAATTGGATGAGTGTAATGGAGGAAAAATGCAGGCTTATTGGGAAAAAGTACCATAGTTAAGGTGATCAGGAATGTCCATCCAGGGGTGTGTGAATCAGTTGCTCAAAAATGTGAGGAAAACTGGGCCTGGTGGCATGTACCTGGAGTCCCGGCTACTTGACAGGAGGATGGCTGAGTTTAGGAGTTCAAGACCAGTCTGGGCAACAGAGTGAGGCCCAATCTCAAAAAAAAAAAAAAAAAAAGATTAAAAATTACTCTGCTGGCCAGAGAGTAACTAGAAAGAGGCCCAGAGACCAGTGGGCTGTCAGTCTTCAGATGGGCCATGACTTGACTTGGACTTGGTGATAGGGAAACGTAGGACTTTGCCTGTGGTTGAAAGCAGGAATTTTCCCCACTTTCTGGATAAGAGAAGCAGGTTGGAAGGACAGGAAACTGGCTTCTAACCAGAGCAAACTCTACATCTTTTTCTTATAAATTGGTAAACTGCCCAAGTCTACTAGCACTGGCTAGACAGTCTAAAATAAGCTCAGTGAAAGCTCTGTGAAATGTCAAGCTAYCATATAGGTCACCAGAGTAAGGGCAGGAGGGAACAGGGTAGAGAACTCACATGATGTTTTCCAAAGTCACACATCTACTAACGCAGGAGAGGTGGAAACAATCCCCTGGGCATCTGCTCTGGGGCCAGGGTTCCTCTGAGGTTGGGCTGGTTAGGCTGTGGGGCTTAGAAGGAGAAGAGTCAGCCAGGGATTGGAGAGGAGCTTTCTCTGGGGCAGTATAAATGTGTCTTTATTCCACAGAGACTCCAAGCGCCCCAAGTACTGCATTGAGCTGAGTTCCCAGCCTGTGGGGCTTGTCCGGGTACACAAGATTCTGGTGGTGGGCAGCACCCAAGATAGTCTACACGGCTTTACTCACAAGGTGTGGCCTTTGGCAAGCCCCAGCCCTTTCACACATGTCCACCCCAGTCCCCCTGGCTGGAAAGACCTCCTGGCTTCTCCTTCCCCACAACTTCAAGCCACTTCTTCTTCCTACTCCAATCCCTGAGCCCCCGAAGACTCTGTGTTCCCTGCCAGGGTAAGAAATTGTGGACTGTACAGATGCCTGCTGCCATCCTGACCATGAACCTCCTAGAGCAGCGTTCCCGGGGTCTACAGGCTGTCATGGCAGGGCTGGCCAATGGAGAGGTCCGTATTTACCGTGACAAGGCTCTGCTCAACATTATCCGCACCCCGGTGAGTCCCACCCTGGCTTCAGCGTCTGTTATTGATCCCTCCTTGCCCCAATCTCACTTGTGAATATTTTTAGCTGCCTCTCCTGACCATATATGAAGCATTTCAGAAACATTTTTCAAGCACTTTATATGTACAAGTCACCATTTAAGGTGGGGGGGTGTGAAATGATGTTTTCAGGGAGCTCACAACCTACGGGAACAACCAGCACTCCAGACGCAGCATGTGAACACACAAGGCGGCCTGCAGCAGAGCAAAGGCTGGAAAAGCAGAGAGGGGCCAGTGACCATGGGAAGGAAGGGGAAAGGTAGACAGGACAAAACTCATGGGACACTTCACAGAGCAAATGGCCACTCACCTGGTAAATTAATTTGCTAAGTTGACAAATGGAGGGAGAATATTCCAGACGGGGCATCATGAACAAAGGTTGAGAGTCATGAAGCACTCTGATGGAAGAATCCAGGCGGTTTGATGGGGTTTGGAACAGAGATTTTTATACTATCATGAGTCATTAAATCAATTTAGTGGATTACAGTCAGCAACATTTTAAAAAATAGGATAGAAATTTCAGAGTGTATCACATGTGAAACCATATGTGGGTATAAATTATCCTGGGTCTCACTGTAAAATCTAAAAGCAACAGGTTTGGGCCTTCAGGTGCTGTGAGGGCAGGTGGCTGGGAGAAGTACAGAGGAGAAAACTGGTGGATGAGGCAGGTTGGAGTCTGATGTCAAAGGCCTAAGTGTTCTGATAAGGAGGACAGGACAAAAGCTATTGGAGGTTGGTTTTCACAAACGCAACAGACACAGCATTACGAAGGACAGAGTGGGGTCAACAATAGGCTGGAGGACTGATTAGGAGACTACCCCAGAAGTCAGGGCCAGTGGTGTTTGGTCTGGAACTGTGGCCATGGCAGTGAGGTTGGAGAGGAGATGGGAAATAAGTATTTTGGTGGCAGCATTGCCCCCAGGCCTCTCCTCACCTCTCACCTGTTTTATCCAGGGTTTTCCTCATCTTCTCCATCTTGCTTTTCTCTCCAAGATGTTCCTCAGCTTAACTCTGATGTTCCCATATAGGATGCAGTGACCAGCCTTTGTTTTGGCCGCTATGGGCGGGAGGACAACACCCTTGTCATGACTACTCGAGGTGAGAAGACTCAGTTCTGTCAAGGACATTGGCATTGGCATTGGAATGAAGGGGCCAGGCTGGAGAAAGAGGAGAGAAGGAGGTGAAACACAAACAGACCCAAATATGGAAAGATGGGCCTACAGACACATCCTGTCAGGGTCTGAGTTGCCATTCAGACAGCTTATTAGTACTTGGATGCTGCTGCCCAGAGGCCAGGCTTAGATCGGGTCGGGTCTCCACAGCAAGTATTGTAGTACCTGCCACAGTACTAGGAATGTCTCAGTACTCCACAAGGAGCTGCTGGGTGAATTAATGGTAGAACACTATTGAGACATATTGCATTCCTTCCAGAGTCTTGTCAGAAAGACAGACCTGTATAGAAATGGCTCTCTATTAAGTTGATTGTTTTGGGCAGAGAGAATGGGAATGTCGAATAGAACTGGGGAGGACAGATCGGTTTCTGTCTATTCACTTCCTTAGGTGGTGGCCTGATAATTAAGATCCTGAAGCGCACAGCAGTGTTTGTGGAGAGCACAGGTGAGGTGGGCCCCCCACCAGCCCAAGCCACAAAACTTAATGTGCCCCGAAAGACTCGGCTCTACGTGGATCAGACACTGAGAGAACGGGAGGCTGGCACTGGTAAGACTCCCCCTCTTTCTCCTCCTCCATTGTTCCCAACAGCAAAAAGTGGGTGGATGGTTCTCAGGTACCCTAGGCAGTCAGGGGGACCTCTGCCAACCCAACAAGTCTCATACCTCTACAAGTCAGGAGCAGCATGGGAGGTGCACCTACCTACATATCATCGTTGCTTAAGGGATAGGTGCCTTTAAAAGTTGGAGGGGCAGCGGTCACTTCTAGCTGCAAGTATTCTCAGAGTAGAAACTAATGAAGATTTTCTGCTTGTTCAACTTTCCCTTTTCATTCTTTCATTACAGGATCATGCCAAGCCTTGTGCCAGGTTCCTTAAAGTAGGCTAGTCCTACATAAGGAGACTTCATGTTGTATGACAGGAATAGGAGTTTCTGTGCGCTGTTGATACACATAAGGCAATAAGGAATATTTGCCTGGGAAACAATAAAACCTTTAGAGAGAGGTGACATTGACTTAATGCCAAAAGATAATTACAAGTCCACCAGACAGTGGGGAGGGAAAGGCAATTTAGGCAGAGTCTGGGATAGAAGCTCAGGGCCCTGACCTGGATTTAAGACAGCATCTGCCATGTAGCTGTAAGGCCAGGAGGCCGAGTGGCCACGGGTAGCTGGGGAGGCAGGTTGGAGCCAGTTCCCAAAGGGCCAGGAATGCAAAACTACATTCATATGTGTGTTTAGGGCATGGGGAACTGGCAAAGAGGTCAAGTAAAAAAGAGCAGTAACTCTTCCTGCTAAGTTTTTTAAAGGGATCTTGGTCTCAGTTTGAAGGACAAAATGGAGGACAGAGAAAAGAGCAGGCTTTTATAACCTAGAACATGTAAGTGATAATGTAGCAGAAACATAAGTAGGGAATTGTGAAAGGTAACCAGATGTGAAGTATTTAAAAATCACAATCTTTTGTATATACCAATAATATCCAATTGGCAAACATAATGGAAAAAGTTTCCATTTAAAATAGTAAAGAAATCCCTAAAAACAAATGTAACAAGAAAATGTACAAAGCCTAATAAAGAAAATTATAAAACTGTCTTCAAAAACATGAGAGGCCACCTGAATGGACAGACTCACCAAATCTCAGGGTGGGAAGACACACTGGTAAAATTGTCAATCCTTCTAGAATTAATCTAGAAATAGCAGAGTTACAGAAAAAATTCCCACGGGGTTCATTTTAGGGACTTGATCAGTTGATTCTAAGAGTAAATCTGAGAACTTTGGGGGAATAAAAATGAAGGAACTTACCCTATAAGATTGCAAATCAACTACAAAACTGTAGGAGTTGATGGTGCTTATGTGGAAGGAGACAGAAGTCATTTAGGAATATCCTGGAAGTTCAGAAAAGGCCTTGTATGTGTGGTGTGGCAAGTCAGTATGTGTTAAAGGTGTCATTTCAGATTAGTGGGGAAAGGCACAACTGTACAAACACCATGATTAGAGTTAGGCACAGCACATACACAAAGTCCCAGATACTCTGGAGGCCAAGGTGGGAGGATTGCTTGAGCCCAGGAGTTAGAGGCCAGCCTGGACCGCATATAGAGACCCTGTTTCTTAAAAAACACAAAGTACAATTAGGATAACTTGCTTCTAAGGGAATTATATGAAACACAAAAGTTAATTCTGGTTAGGTTAAAAATAAATTGGGGCTGGGGTTGTGACTCAGTAGTAGAGTGCTTGCCTCACTTGTGAGAGGCACTGGGCTCAAGTCTCAACACCAGGTATAAATAAATGAATAAAATAAAGGTCCATCAACAACTAAAAAAAAAAAAAGTTTAAAATAAATAAATTGTGGACTGGGGATGTGGCTCAAGTGGTGGCACACTCGCCTGGCATGCGTGAGGCACTGCGTTCGATCCTCAACACCACATAAAGATAAAATAAAGATATTGTGTCAACCTAAAACTAAAAAATAAATAAATGAATAAATAAATAAATTGAAAAAGTACTAGAAGAAAAAGGAAAGATGAATAAGTGGGATAACATAAAGATGCAAAACTTCCAAATGGCAAAAGGCACCTCACACAAAATAGAAAAGCAAAAACAGACCAAGATGTTGGGTCTGGACAGAGGAGGGCTGGCAGGAGCAGGGATGGGGGACTCTGGGGGCAAGCTGAGGAAGAGTTAGTTACCTGCTCTTACCAAAGGGTTAGGGTGAGGGGTAAATCAAGGTGGCCTGGGGGACGGTGATGCAGTAACTCAGGAGGATAGTGAGGCTGGCTTCCACAGTGTTGAACTTGAGGTGTTATACGACACCCAGGGAGAGATGACCATGGGGCAATTAAGCAGCTGCAGGCCTAGATGCCCAGATGCTGTTGGAGACAACACACAATGTAGAGGGACATGGGAATAACAAGGTCCCAGTTCATAGGGACCAGCAGCTGTTGCACTTTGGGATGGTCAGAGCCAAGACAGGCCCTGGGTTGTCCAGGGGACAAAGGAAAGTAAGAGAATGAGCCAAGGCCCAGAATCCAGGGAACACTAGCCTTTAGAGCTGAACAGAAGGAGACTAAGATGTGCAGACAGCAAGGTGGTGGGAGAACCAATGGAGAGGAATTAGGGCATAGTCCACAGCTGGGTCACCAAAAGGCTGGGCTTGGCCTCAGTCCTTCCTGTCCCACATTCCCAGCTTCTGCAGGTCCTGCCCACTGCATCTATCTCACACCCTCCCCACAGCAGCCTCCCTCCAGCCTCAGCCTTCATATCCTCTTCATAGCCATGCACCGGAGCTTCCAGACAGACCTCTACCTCCTGCGCCTCCGGGCAGCCCGCGCCTACGTGCAGGCCCTTGAGTCCAGCCTGAGCCCCGTGTCGGCCACAGCCTGGGAACCACTCAAGCTGCATGCTGTGGTGAGCACCCAGGTGTGGGAGCATCAGGGTCAGAGGGCAGAGGTCAAGAGGGCCACCCATTTAAGCCCCCAGAGCCAATGCCATGGAGTAAGCCCCAGGCTCCCTTTCTCCCTCCATATCCTCCTGGGAGAGCTGCCTTCACCATCTTGCTTCTTGTACTGCCCTCTTCTGTGGCTGGCCACAGAAGGAGACTTCCTCTTCAGCCCCCTGGTTCTGGGTTGTGCTCCTAGACATGGGACAGGGAGCACAGAGTGTCACCTTGGAACATTTCTTCCCAGGAGCCTCAAGGGATCTAATGGCATAGAGTAGAACACTGTTTGCTTCAGTAGCCATAGGACCACCTGGTACAGGGAAGGGCCAGCCTGGTCTGGCCATAGGCAGTATGCCTGGGCGTGAGGGAGGAGAAGCCTACACATTCCCAAATTTGAGTGACCACAAGGCTGCAGCCAGCTCTCAGTTGGTCCCTATGTGTATTGTCTGCTCTTCCCAGGTTTCTAATCACTTAGTTCCTAAAGAGAGTGGATAGATATAGAGGAGGAAGGGGTGACAGAGGAACTCAGGGTGCGAGGGAGAAAATCTCATCTACCAGGACAAGGGTGGGAGGTAGAACAGGCCTGGAGCAGGCAGGAGCAGCAGTAAAGACAGGAGGGAGCTGGGCCATGAGCCTGGCTGGCTTTGCCTCCAACTTGCTAGGTGGTCTCATCGAGGCCCTCTCCTCTCCAGGCCTCTGCAGCCCCGTCTGTCTTCTGTGCATTTTGATGAAGGCAGATAGATAAAGCACTAGAGCAGTTGTTGGGGTAACTTGAGGACACTGATGAAGAAGCAGACAGGGCCAGGCTCCTGGATTTAGTGCCCAAGGCCCTCGGTCCTGAGGGCCTTTTCCACCCATCCCCACAGGTCCAGGGCCTGGGGCCCACCTTCAAGCTCACGCTTCATCTGCAGAACACCTCAACAGTCCGCCCTGTGACAGGGCTGCTGATCTGCTTCCTGTACAACGAGGCACTCTATGCCCTGCCTCGGGCCTTCTTCAAGGTACTAGATCTCCCCTTAACCACGCCCACAACCCGCCCTGAGTCATGGGGTACAGTAGGTTAGGGCAGGATCTTGATTAGTTGCTCACCAGTCCCCAGTAGATCAAGGTAAGGAAATGGCCAGAGGCTAGTAGGTGGCCAACAGACCAACTCAGCCAGACACCAGGTGGGCATCTGGAAGGAGCACCAGGCCTTGCCTTTGCCACCTTTTTCCCAGTCTAACCTGCCCAGGAGCCACACAGAAGGTGGTAGGGAATAGCAGAGCCTGAGTCCTACCTACCTGTCCAACATTGTTGGTGGCCAAGAAGCCCCACCCTGCTTCCCAGCTGCTCCTGCTACTAAAAGGGATCCTCTCTACTCCAGAGAGTGTCATCACAGAACAAAGGGTCTGCTTTTCCCCCACAGCCCAGGTTAGAAGGAGAAGAAACTTAAAACTCTGGAATGTAGAAGAAACAGCCCTGGCCTTGGTAGGAATCTAGGTTTAACCACAGACCCATCATGTGGCCCTGGAGCATTGGCTTCCCAGCACTGCACCATGGCCTGGCCCACCCTGAGGAATCCTGAGACACAGCTGATGGCAGGCACAAGCACATTTTGTGATCTGCCAACTAGTAGCTGGGCATCCTCTGTCTCCAAACCTAGGTCCCCTTGCTGGTGCCAGGGCTCAGCTACCCCCTGGAGACCTTTGTGGAGAGTCTCAGTAACAAGGGCATCTCAGACGTCATCAAGGTAAACCATCCACTGGTACTTCTTGGAAGGTGGGACCGTGGGGAGGTCAGTAAGGGTGAGTATGGACAAGGCCCTCAGGGGCTACAGGGTGGAGCTATGGTAACTGCACAGTTGAGGCCTCCCCCCCTCCCTATCCCTTCAGCAGAGCCCTAGTGGCCTGTCATTAAGGTCAGTGCAGACAAGCAGGCTTGGCCTTTGCAGGGAACAGAGAGCAGGGGTCCAGGTGTATGCCCCAACTCCATGGCACCTCCTCCATAGGTACTGGTGCTCCGGGAAGGCCAGAGTGCACCCCTGCTGAGTGCCTACATCAACATGCCTGTGAGTGAGGGTCTGGAAGCCGCCTGAGCCCTGGGCCAGTGTTCAGGCCCCTGCCGAATGGAGTCAGCAAGATCCATCAGCCACTTTCACTGAGCTGGGCGGGTTGGGCCACTCCCCATGCAGCAGTGTGCTGGGGCGCCAGCTTCCCACTCCTCTCCTGAGCACCCCCTGCTCAACACTCCTGCCATGGGGCTATAGCAGCAGCCAGTGAGTATAAGAAGGCCTGGCTCCTCTCTCAGAACATGCCCTGGTATTGTTCCAGAGGCAGCTTCTGCTGCCCACTGCCTCCCAGTACTTCCCAGAAACCTCACTCAGTCCCAAGGAAGAGTTCTGAGCTGTCGAGATGAAAAAAGGACACTGACTCTTTTTCTTTTCCACTTCCTTCTGGCACCCCACTCACCTCCTGYAGCAGGCCAAGGCCAGAATTGGATGAGAGCCTGGCCTGAGAAGTCAGAGGCTTTTCTTGGGTAAGACTGAGCCCCCTGTCAGCCTGGGGTTCCACTTTCTGTTCAGCAATCCACCGAAGGAATAGCCATCTCCCCATAGGGCACCTTTACAAAGGCTTGGACCCTGCCACCACCTCAGGGCTCCAAGAACCCCACCAGCAGGTTGCCAGAGGAAGAAGTGGTGCAGGAGGGCAGAGGGTGCCCATGTGCATTCCCAGAGACCACACAGCATCTGCTCCTGACCTGGGTGCTCCTGCTCAGAAAGAGCATCTGTGGAAAGGAAAGTGGAATTAGGTAGAGCAGAGGCAGGCAGCACCAGAAGAGGCATTTCTGGGATTAGGGGAAGGGCTGGGGAGACAGAAGCCCTAAAGTGCCCATCAGACTGCCCTTCTGTGCCTGGGAGTCCAAATCAGCCCTGAGGGTGGAAAGTTCACTGGGCAGCAGCCAGAGCAAGAGAATTGGCTGGCTCAGAAGTGAGGCTGGAGATTAAGCAAAGTCTCAGTTTAGACCTAAATGCTCAGAACCCTCAAGCCCCTCATGCCTGCTGAGTCCCTGGGAAGTCTTGCCAGTGCTCCTCTCAGGCCACAGGAGTCACCTGGGAGCCAGCAGCCTTGCTCTTGGGAACCTACATCTTTCCCCTTCTGACCAGGTGTGGCCTGATGTGTGGCACACAGCTCAGGCTTGCAGGAAGTAACAAGATTCCTCTGTGTTTCTGGTCTCCCCTCATGTAAAATGAGGCAGTTTCTGAACTGTTTTTAGCTCTGACACCCCATGGGCTTTGCACCCCCTCTGGCAGARAGGAGGAGTTGGCCCAGAAAAGTGATACTGGACAGGAACAAGTGCACAGCTTTTGCCCTCAAGTCCAAGGTCTCTACCAGGCACGGTGGCCCACACCTGTAATCCCAGCAACTTGGGAGGCTGAGGCAGGAAGATCACAAGTTCAAGGCCAGCCTCAGCAACTTGGTGAGACTTTGTCTCAAAATGATAAAGGGCTGGGGATGTGACACAGTTTATGCACCCTGGGTTTAATTCCTAGTACCCCCCCCCAAAAAAAAGAGAAGAACAAGGACTTCAAACTGGTTGCCACTGTCTGCCTCTCTGCCCAAGACACAGGGTGGACCCCAGCCCTTCCAAGGAATGCACCTGGAGCCAGGTTAAGAGGCCACCGGTTTGGGCCAAAGAAAGAGCCTTCTCCCTTCTCCCCACTGCCCAGCAGACCACCTGGGTCAGGATGGTGAAGGGTTTCTACATCAAGCCAGCCGAGGCACAGTGGAAATAGCAGAGGTAAAGAAATGAAAAGATGTGGAACGGAGGGTGTCACTGTCACTCTAGTCTCAACCTGCAGAACCTGGAGGTGGAAGGGCCTGTCCAAGGGGGTAATGAGCCCATCATTGGAGCTGTGTGCACGGGTGTGGGCTGTCATGGGGCAGAGTCATGTATTGGCCAGAAGACCTTATAGTCCCTTTTACCCAGGTCATACTGTGAACTACACTACGAACTGTGTGAACAAAAACATCTGATCTGTTGTTTTTTTCATATCTGTTCATTATGATGAAAGGAGAGACCTATGTTTTGGTACCTGATGTGAGTTTTATAATACTATCCTATTAAATATGTGGGGGTCTGGGGATGTGGCTCAGTGGTAGAGCACTTGCCTAACACGTGTAATGCCCTGGGTTCGATTCTCAGCATGGCATATAAATAAATAAAGGTTTAAAAAAGAGAGAGAGAAAATATATGGAACAGGGGGCTGGGTTGTAGCTCAGTGACAGAGACTTGCCTAGCACGTGTGTGGCACTGGGTTCAATCCTCTGTACCACATAAAAATAAATGAATAAAATAAAGGTATTTGTCTAAAAACAATTTAAAATTTGCCTAAAAAACAATTTAAAAAAGAAAAAAGAAATATATGGAACCAAGTACTATGGCCTATGCCTGTATGACTCAGAAAACTATGGCAGAATGACAAATTCAAGGCCTGCCTGGGCTACTTAGTCCTGTCTCAAAAAAAAAAAAAAAAAAAAAAGACTAGGAATGCAGCTCAATGGTAGGGCCCTTGCCTAAAGTGTGTGAGGCACTGAGTTCAATCCCTAGTACTGCAAAAAAGAAAACAAATTTTATATATATAGGCTGGGGATGTAGCTCAAGTGGTAGCGCGCCTGCCTGGCATGCRCGAGGCACTGGGTTCCATCCTTAACACCACATAAAAATAAAATAAAGATATTGTGTCCACCTAAAACTAAAAAATAAATATTTTTTTAAAAATTTATATATATATACATATATACACACACACACACACGTGTGTGTGTGTGTGTGTGTGTAAATATATAAAGTCTACTATCTGGACAAGTGCACATAAAGCAACATAAAGCAAGAAACAGTGTATGGTCCCCAGTGCACACACTAGCAAGGGCTCCAGGAAATTGTGTCCACTAGGGATAGGCAAAGTTTATGTATTCTTTCTTTTTTTTTTTTTTTTTTTTTAAAGAGAGAGTGAGAGAGGAGAGAGAGAGAGAGAGAGAGAGAGAATTTTTAATATTTATTTTTTAGTTCTCGGCGGACGCAACATCTTTGTTGGTATGTGGTGCTGAGGATCGAACCCGGGCCGCACGCATGCCAGGCGAGCACGCTACCGCTTGAGCCACATCCCCAGCCCTATGTCTTCTTTCTTAATATTTATTTTAAATCATGTCTCCACTTAGTAATATGGAATTAGGCAGTTTATAACGAGAAAATAGCCTCTCATTCTCTTGAACTGCCCCCAGCAACAATCACTTCAATTTTATAAATATATATAAAATTTTATATATATATATATATAAAATTGTTGATAGACCTTTATTTTATTTGTGTATGGTGCCGAGAAATCAAACCCAGTACTTTACATATGCCAGGCAAGTGAGCCCCAACTTCAATTATTTTTAAAATATGCTTGTACTATTCTTGATTGATTTATCAATCTCAGACACTACCTGTTGACTCCCCATTGTAGCAGATGAGTATTTAGCTCTCTTGAGACAGCACCCCTCCTTCATCTCTAGTTTTTAGGCAAATCAATACTCACTATCAAGATTGCCATTTATATTACCATGTGAAAATTATTCACTGCAAAGCCAAAATTTGGGCTAATACCCCAGCACTGGGAAAAAAAAATTGGGGCTATAAATAAATCACCTTTTTTGAAACTTTTTTTATTTTTCATAGAATTAGTAGTTGCCCTTTTTTCTTTTTAATTTGCTTAGCTTTCTAATATACCAATTGCTAATTCTTCTCCAGCCAGTCTGATGATTCCTCTTTCTTCTGTACACTTCTCTTCCTTCCCAGAGGACTGTTTGCTCTCCAGGAGAATTCACTTTGCCCCTCTCCAGGGCTAGATTCCTGACTCCAGGGGTCCATGTCTTCTTAGTTCACCCTCATTTGGTGGAATGTATCCATGGGTACCTTCTTTAAAAAGTCACTGGAGTTAAAATTTATAAGTCAATGCCTGTCTAAACATTTCTTTCTTTAATGCACATGTGATAATTCGGCTGGATCACAGAATCCTCGGTTGGAGGTCACCTTCCTACAGGCAGTGCTCCTGTATTCTAGCTTCCATGCCATTCTCCTCCTAGTTGTCTTTTTCTCTGAGATTCTGAATGTCATGACATACCTCATCCTGTCCTTATTGTTTGTTTTGCCACTGAGCGGAGACAGATGTGCATCTTTTGTTCCAGGAAATTGTATTACTGCTGTACCATGGGTGATTTCCTCCCCTCRATTTCTCTGTTCTCTCTGGAATGACAGTTAAGCCCAGCATCTGATAAATGATCATCCCAGAGAGGACAAGATTGAGCCTGAATTTCTTCTCTATTCTCAGATTATCGTTTTGTTTTGTTTTCTGAGAGCTTTGTTGTCTTCTCTGAATTTTTCAAAATGTTTGTTGCCTTAATTCTCAATTCTTTGTTCTCCATTTAGTCCTGACTGTGGCTCCCCCCGCCCCACCCAGTGCTGGGGATTGAACACAGGACCTCATGCATGCTAGGTAACTGAGCCACACCCAGCCCACAACCTTGGTATCTTTTCAAAGATGAATTTTCTTTTCTCTCTCTGAAATTATCTATAATATTTTATCAGCATTTCCCGAGTTTCAGTTTTTTTGGGGGTTTCTCTTGAGCTTACATCCTCAGAATAATCTACAAATTAACCACCCTCTCTTTCCTCATGCCAGAATCAGCAAGGGAAAATGCCTGTTTCCAAGCTGGGTAGGAAGGTATAGGAAAACCTCCTCTGAGAATTTGGTAGTGGGATGCAACCTGTGGCCTTGAGCATGCTAGGCAAGTGCTCTACCTCTGAGTTACACTCCCAGCCCACTCCTGAATTTTTTAACCCCAAACTAGCCCCTGAAAAAGAGTTTGCAACGTGGATTGACAATACTTGGGTTGTACTAAGAATACTAACTAAAAATTTAAAGTGGTGTAGGAYTGGTCATCTGGCAACTAACAAACACATTTCTTCTCTGGAGGAATTTATGTTTAAACAAACCTCAGAACAAATCCCACTGATAAAATTCCAAAAAATAGGGCTGTGGCTGTGGTTCAGTGGTAGAGGGCTTGCCTAGCATGTGTGAGGCCCTGGGTTCGATCCTCAGCACCACATAAAAATAAAGGCATTGTGTCCATCTACAACTAAATATAAAAAAAAAATCYAAGATATAGGAACTTATAGTCAAAAGAAATTGTAAGGGCATGAGACATCATTGACCAAGAACCAGCATAAGCAATAGCCAGAGAAACCCACCAAGACTTAAGGTATAGGGATATAAAGTGTTTTAATTTTTTTTCTTTTTGTCTTTGTTTTCAATGCACTTAAAAGAAAAAAAAAAAAACCCTAAACTTGGAACAGAAAGCAAGAGAATATATAAAATGATCAAGGTGATTTGAAAAAGAACCAAGTAGAACTTCAAAAAATGAAAAATTATTCCATATGTAAAACTCAGTGGATGAATTGTTACAACCACTTTATGGAAAAAAAATAACAGCCAGGTGCAGTTGTGCAAGGTTGTAGTCCCAGCTTCTCTAGAAAATGAAGCCAGAGAAAGATCTCTTAATCGCCTGGACTACATAATGAGGCCTTGTCTCTTAAACAACAAAAAAATCAATAGACTGATTTAGCAGCTGAAGGCAGACTTACCTATAAGACAGTTCTGTAGAGATTCTCCAGGATGTCCAGAAAAAAGGAAGGAAAATATGAGTCATTAAGAAATCAGAAGGATGGAGTAGGAAGGTCTGATAAGAGTTCCAATAGGGACAGAAAATATCTGAGGATGTAACGACTGAGAAGGTTGTGGAACTGATGAATGACCAATTCATAGAATTAGAAAACCCAACAACTCTTTTTTTAAAAAAATGTTTTTGGTACAGGGGATTGGACTCAGGGTCACTGTGCCACATCCCCAGTCCTATTTTGTTTTTATTTGTTTTTTATTTAGACAGGGTCTCACGGAGTTGCTTAGTGCCTCGATGTTGCTGAGGCTGGCTTTGAAATCGCAGTCATCCTGCCTCAGCCTCCCAAGCTGCTGGGATTACAAGCATGCTCCACCATGCCCGGCTAACAACTCTCATTTGGACAAATGAAAAAATTAACACATGGGCACATCACAGTAAAACCTCAGAAGACAAAAAAACAACAAAAAAAAGCAATTGGAGCCAACTGTGGTGGCTCAGGAGGCTGAGTTAGGAAGATCACAGCTTCAAAGCCAGCCTCAGCAAAAGCGAGGTGCTGCGCAATGCAGTGAGACCCTGTCTCTAAATAAAAAATAAAATAAGGCTGGGGATGTGGCTCGGTGGTCAGTGCCCCTGAGTTCAATCCCCAGTAAAAAGCAACTGGAGCCAGGCACAACCCTTATCTGTTATCCCAGCCACTGGGAAGGCTGAGGCAGGAAGATCACAAATTCAAGGCCAGCACTTAGAGACCCTGTCTCAAATGAATTTTTAAAAAGGGCCAGAGATATGACTCAGAGGTGGAGCACACCTGGGTTCAATCCCCAGTACTTAAAAAAGAAAGAAAGAAATTCTTCAAAGGAATAACAATAACCAAAAAATAGACAACTTATTTAACAACAACAATTGAGACTAAGAGACAACAGAATAATATCTAAAATATATTGGAATAACTATTAGTGTAGATTTTTATTGCAGCAAAAAAACTTTAAATAAAGTACTACAAAAGGTATAATCCAGGGCTGGGGATATAGCTCAGTTGGTAGAGTGCTTGCCTTGCGTGCATAAGGCCCTGGGTTCAGTCCCCAGCACGCACACACAAAAAAAGGTATGTATAATCCTAGCAACTTGAGAGGTTGATGCAGCAGGACTGTGAGTTCAAAACCAGCCTCAGCATCTTAGTGAGGCACTGCCTCTAGATAAAATATAAACAAGGGTTGGGGAGGACTGGGGTTGTGGCTCAGTAGTAGAGTGTTTGYTTAGCACTTGTGAGGCACTGAGTTTCATCCTCAGCACCACATAAAAATAAAGAAAAAATAAATGCAACAAAAAATACATCTTTGTGAGAAAAAGTATAAGTTTATTTTAAACATCCAATGAAGCGATACACCATATTCACAAACTGGAAAATTCAATTTTATATAGCCACCAGTTTTCCCCAAACTGATCTATACAGTTAGTGGAGTTCCATTCATGATCTCAAAGAGGTATTTACTGGTTTAACTTGACAATCTGATTCTAAGCTTTCTAAGGGAGGACAAGGGCTCTTGGTGGATGACTCCCAAAGGAAACAAGGGTAGATAAAATGGCCAGTGGAATAAAATTCAAAAATTAGTCATGGCATTCAGAAGATCACTATGCAACAAGGAAAGAGGGCATCCCACAGCTACATGCAACAGTTTAGATACATCTCAGAAACATAATATTGAGAGAAAGGCAAGTCATGTAAAATTCAAAAACATGTAACTAAAAAGCCAAGCAAGGAATGATCAAGACAGGACCCTGTGTCCACCCCCCGCCCCCCAGGAAGGGGACTAAGAAGGAAACAGTGATTTTTTTTTCTCTGACAGGTGTGTGGGGTGCTATATAAATATGCTCTTGCATTTCCTCACTATTAAGTAAAAACATGAAAACCAGATATTCTGGAGGGCGAGGAATGAGATGCAGAGGAGGAAAGGCAGATCTGCCAATGTTTTAAGTTCAGCACAGAATGCCAGGCACACCAGGCTCCTAAACTCTTTTACAAAGTAGCAACAGAACATGCCTCCTGAGAAAAGCAATGACCACTGTGGCCACAGGTAGAGGCTGTCAGGCAGTGGACTCTTCTGGGGGTCCAGGGAGGACCCCAGCATTATCTGTGGACTTTTGGTCYAGCCCTCCTCCCCTCCTCCCCACCCCCAGTGCTCCAGAGATCAGAGCTTCTCTGTTCTAGTTTCTCCGAGGGGTGGATGGGGCTGGCAGGGAGGGCACCCAGCAGCTCCTGATACTGACTTGGCATCGATCTCCACTGTTGGCCCAAAGCCTCACCTCAACTTCCATCGTTCTGGTGAATTCTTGAACCCCACCAGGGCTTTGGGGGCAGTTTGGCTTGCCTCTCCACCCCTTCCTTTGGGAAAACGTAATTTCGATTTCTAGTTCTCTGCATAAGACAGTGAACAAGCCTCCAACCACCTTCCATCTTTCAAAATGTCAGATTCTTTGGTCTACTACTGTCTGTCTGTTTCCACCTTGTAAACTTATCTTCTTTTTATTTCTTTACTATCATCTTAGTGATACTCTGTCAGTAAACATTGATTAGCTTGTGTGTTGAAGCTGCCGCATTAACGAGCAGCTCCCAAGAGGCCACAGAGCAGCACAGGCCTGTGCCCTCAGGTCACCCTTCATGGGCAGTAACACTCCAGCTGATTCTTTGCCTAGATTTTTCTCCCACTCACTTCCTTTGGCTGTGCAAGGGTGAAGGCAACAGTACAAAGACCTGGGTTCCCATTCTGCTTCCTCCATTTACTACCCCATTGACTTGTCATGGCAACCAACAGCTTTACACACAGAACAAGAACCCAGACACTGAGCTACGTCCCAGGTCAGCCAAGAGCTTCCATGAAACTGCTGTTGCAGAAATGGCCTGAAATATTATGTGCTGATCCTGGAAAACATGTTCAGATTCTACCACCCCTACCCCACCAGGGAGAAAGGACACCTAGGCCCCTCAGACACCTCGTTTTTTGGTGATTTTCAGGCATGACAATCAGAGGAACCAGAAACAGCAGCCAGGGTAACAAAGTGAGGGACCAGAAACCCAGCAAAGATGGAGGGAGGTCAAGGACCAGGTGGGTATCTTATTAGCCTGGCAGAGAGGCAGCCAAGCATCCTGGGCAGCCTCTTGCCAGACCCACCTCTGCAACCATCTTCCCAAACAGGCAGAGATGGAGGGGCCCGAGCCCTGGGCAGGGTGTCCAGGCTGGGCAGGAGCAAAGCTAAGGAAGGGGTTGAGGTTACCCACTGCTGACTTTAAGGGCCAGAAACGAAGGAGTTATCAGCCCACCTCCTGCTCCCCTCTGCCCACTTCAGTTCTAACTCCCACTGAAGTCAGGAAGCCATGAGTCCCACATCAGCTGCGGTGTGAAAGGTGATCCCATCCCCAGGCAGTGGGGAGGCCAGGAAGGGCCAGAGCCAGACAAGGGCCCAACGGGGCCCCAGAGCTGCCTGCAGGTTGTGGCAGGGGCCCAGGTCATAGGAATGCTGGCCTCGAGCCCATTCCCATGTGGTCTGGCCCCGTAACAGCAGCATCCCATGGAAGAGCAGCCCAGCCCCACACAGCAGCGCACCTGCCACACACGTGTCCATCACGAAGGCCAGGGTGAACTGGGCCAGAGACACTCTGCCTGCAGGGACAAGTAGAAAGAGTCAGGGGCCAAAGTCTGGACCAGCCCTCCCAAAGCCCAGCTCCGGCCCACCCTCCACCCCTACCCTCCACCACAAAGCAGGCCTCATTTCTCTGTTCTGTCCAGCCTGTGCTGGGAACCAGGCAGATGGCCGCTGCCTGCATTTGATGTTTATCCACGCATCACAAAACTTAGTAAACACCATGGGGAGGAGATGGCCTCTTGGCTCTCAGACATCAAACTGATCTTGTCTCAGTTAATTACAGTTGTCATCTGTATCTTAACAGAAAAGAACAGCCTTCTACTATCTTGGCCACAGCAAGCAAGAAGTACTTGCTGCATAAAGAACAAGAGAAGCTAGACACAAAAGGTCATGTGTCCTGTAATCTCTGTCTGCAATGTCCTGAACAGGCAAATCCACAGAAACAGAAAGCAGCTTAGTGGTTGTCGAGGATGGGGATGGGGGAAGAGGGGCGGCTGCTTAAGGGGTTCTTTTTAGGGTGAAAATGCTCTGAAATCAGTGACAATGGTGGCACTGTGTTCACTGTGAATACACTAAAAGACACCAAATTGTAAAATGGCTAAAATTATTAATTTTACTTCAATAAAAGAGAGCCTGAAACAGAAGAGATGGAGGGCAAACATTCAGAGGGGGCAGGGGAAGTGGGTTTTTTCTATTTTGATAAATTCGAGAGAACAATTTGTTTGCAGGTTCCAAGGCAGGCAAAGGTGCCATGAGACGGGTAGGTCTGCACTCTGCAAGCTCAGAAAGAAACCCAGGCTGGACAAGCAGATCTGTGAGTAGTGAGGACCTTGGGGTCTCCCAGGACCCCAGGAGTGGCTGGAACTGCCAGAGTATGTGAAATGAGAAGACAATGTCACCAAGACCTGAGAGTGGGAGGGTCCTTGGGCATCAGATAAAAGAGAACCCAAGCCAGGTGCAGCAGTGTGCCTGTAGTCCCAGGTATTTAAGACGCTGAGGAAGGAGGATCACTTGAACCCAAGAATTTGAGACCAGCCTGGACAACATAGTAAGACCCTGTCTCTAAAGAAAAAAGGGGAACCATAAAGGAAGGTAGGAAGGCCCAAGTTGGAGGCACCAATGAGACCAAGGGCAGAACTTGTCAAGGATGGGGCACTCAGCAGTTTTTTAGTCTGAACAGTCTCTTAAAGCAGAAAAGAACTAGAAAAGTCCTGTGGCTTTGTGRCGACAGAGTCTGGGTCTGTGGCAGTATCAGAGAACAGCTGGGGACAGAAGTTAGGTCAAAGCAGTTGGAAGAATAAGGGAAAAGCAGCTGTGAGTCTAAGGAAGTCCTTCTGGAAGGTGCATGAGGACCAAAGAGCACAGAGGACATGTGGAGCAAAAGGTCTGTACAAGGGGAGAAAACCCAAAGGAAGCCAGTGGAGGGAGTGGGGTGCAGGGCAGGGATGGAACACCACGGAGTGGGCTCAGGGAGGTCTCTGATCAGGTAGGGCACCAGGCCTGAGGAGCTAGGGGCAGTCAGACGGGCTTGAAGAGCTGAAGACAGGGCGATTTGGGATGTAGCATCTGATGTCCTGTTCTCTCTGTGATGGTCCCGGGGACAGGAGAGCTGCAGTTGTTGGGAGAGCAGGCATATGAGAAAACAGGATGGCCAGGCACAGGTACAAGCCTGTTGAGGTCAGCAGCCATAGACATGGTATGGTACCAACCTGCCACAGAGGACATGTATCTCTGGCAACTCTCAGAAGCCAGGGCCAGGAAGGTACAGTGCAAGGACGCTGCCGTGTTGGCAGGAGACTGGTGAAAACTGAGGGCTCTAAGCTGTGCGTGGGGCAGTGAAGAGGGGATGCAGCAGAGGGAGAGAAAGGTGACAGCCAGGAGCCTGCAGGGCCCAGAAGGTCTTGGAGCAGGAGTCACAGAGTGCAAGGGTGAGAGATGGAGCAGAGGAGAGGAATGGAAGGCAAAGAGGGATGACGATGGGTGGCTTTGGAGGTGACACATTTGGCATCCTGACAAGGACTGCAGTTTGGACGTGGGAATAGGAAAAGGAAGTAAAACAAAGGTCAAGAACCTGAGGCCTTTGCAGACCTTCAGATGCTCATGATGTCAAAGGGCCCAGGGCTGACAGAGAGATGGGGAGCTGAGGCCAAGTACTCAATGACAAGTAGTGAAGAGAGGAGGCTGCGGAGACCACAGGGAGGAGCAACTGGAACACGGAGTCTCAGTGGAGGCAGGGGGCAACAAGGAGGGTGTAGGAGGGCTGGTCAGGGAGCTGGTGTGGGCAGAAGACTCTGACAGTGGACCTCTGGAGGTCCCTGGGGCGGAGCTGGGCTTGGAGTGGATGAGGAGGCACAACGACTTCTCAGAGTGATCAGGAGATTTCTAACTGCAGAGCAAGGTTACAGAGAATCCTAAAAAGGTCAGGAAGGATTCAGGAGAGAAAGCCCACAGCATTCTAGCCAGGAGGGAACAAAGACTGGAAGATCAGGGGTGGGGTGGGGCTTTTATCTTGGTGGTGTCGGAACATGCATGTCATCTAAAACACAGCATCTCAAAAGCCTCCTGCTCCTAGTCTTCCCTCCCAATTCCCAATGACTGGGTTTTCCACTGCCTGAATCTTTCACTGGCTCCCTACTGCCCCATCAAATCAGAGCCATCTCCAACACCAGCATTCAGGGCCCTCCACCCTCCGGTCCTGGCCTACTGTCCCAGCCTTAATTCTCACAATTCTCAAGATGCCTTTGCTCTTCTTGGGGGCCTTTGCTCTTGTAGTTGCTATCACCTGAGTGCCCACCTCCCACCACCCAACCACCCCTATGGGCTCCCACTGCTCTTTCCTCCTCTGCCAACAAGTCCTGCAATCCTTCCTGATTCTCTCAACAGAACTATCCCTTGTCTTGGGGCACTGTTGAGTGCCACCCTGCCTTTACCTCCGTAAATGACAGAAAACCAACAGGAAATCCCACCTCCCACCAAAACAGCCTTTACTTCCTGGCCCAATACCTTCCTGAAGCAAGGCAGAGGCACCCAGGCTCCCCACCTGTGAGCAGCATGAGCCAGGGCAGCAGGAGGAGGGCAGCAGTATGGAGAAGTGAGTGGGCCCGTAGCAGAGCTGACAGGGCAGGGCCCAGCAGCACGGAGATGTGGAGCAGGACACCAGCACCATGCAGCAGCAGGCACAGGAAGGGCCGGTAGTTGCGGAAGCCCACRCAGCGGCCCAGCAGWCGGCAGTGGTGGTCCCGGCGCAGGATGCAGATGCGGCAGGCAGAGCAATGCCCACTGCGTGGTGGCACCTGGCTCTGGCACTGGTAGCAGTAACTGCAGGGAAGGAACCACAGGGTCAGTGCCCCAGATCATGCCCAGGTCAGCCCATCCTGGGGAAGCAGAACAGAGCCACCCCTCACCAAGCCTCAGGTTCCTCTAAGCCTAAGGGTCTTCACAGGTAAATGCAGGCCCAACAAGTCTCCCAGACCCCTCCAGTGCTACCACCGCATTGCCAGCTCTGACCTCTCTGCCCTCGTAATACCCAAAAGCATACTTCTCACTTCCTTCACCTTGGTCCATATCACCATGAACTGTCCTCTGGATTACTGCAGTAGCTTCTTGACTGGTCTCCCAGATCCTCCCCTTCTCTTCCCTTCTAGTGTAGTCTCACCCCAGCTGCTAGACTCACCCTTTTAAAGCTTAAGTCATGCCCCTCCTCTGCTCAAAACCCTCCAATGGTTCTCCATTTCTTTTCTCCTCAAAAGCATTGCCTTACATCTCTGTCATCTCTTCCCCTCTCACTGCACTCCAGCCACTCTGGCCTTACTGCTGTGCCTGAAACATGCTAGCCATACAACTACCCCAAAGCCTTTGCATGGTTCTGTTTCCTCTGCCTGAAACACTCTATCCTCAAATTCCTACACAGCTAATTCTTCATTTCCTTCAAGGCTTCACTCAAATGAGATCCACCTTGACAAACTATGTATTTTTTTTAACTTCACTTGTTAATTGTAAATTGTAGCTGTATATATTTAAGGTGTACACAGTGTTGTTATGACTTCTAATACAATGCAGAATAATTAAATCAGGGTAATTGACAAAACCATCACCTCACTTACTTTTTGTAATGAGAACTGCCACTTAAAACTGAAACTTGCACTCCCTTTACCCTGCTCTAATTCTTGTTTCCACATCAGCACCGTCTAACATTTTTATAATTTGCTTACTTATTGTGCCTGTAGTTCATTATCTGCCCCTCCCCCAAGTGATCGATTCCTGGAGGTTGAGAATCTGAAAAGTACCTTCCACCCAGGAGGTGCTCAGTACGTATTTGAGTAAATAAGCAGTACTTATTTTGGTTCTTCCATGCCAGATCTTACAGAGTTATCCGGCTCTAACAACCCGCCTGCTAAAGTAATCTGGTTCTCACCCCCAGGTCGTGGAGCCCCTCCCCTGTCCRAGGCTCCCGTTTCTGCCCCCAGACCCCGCACCCCACTCACGCCCAGCCCTGGCCCCGACCGCGGCCGGCCAGCATCACGCCCCGGATGCTGGGGTCCGAGCGCAGGAACAGCCCCACGTTGCCCAGCAGGTTAAGCAGCTGGAAGGCGGCCAGCGCCAGCTGCAAGGCCCGAGCCAGGGGTCCCAGCGGGGGCGGCCCGGGACCCAGCACCAGCACGTAGGCCAGCTCCAGGCTCACGACAGCGGCCCACAGCGCCGTGAGCACGAGAGGCAGCCGCGCGGGCGCTCCCTCAGCGCTCCCCGCCGCCCAGGGCTGCCCCATGGTCCGGACCCACCGGTCGCGGGATCCCGAGGACCCGGAGCTTCCGTGTTGGGGCGGAGATAGCAGCAGACGGACGTCTGCTACGGCCAATAGAAATCGGAAGGAGTGCCGTGAGCGCGGGACCCCAAGGGACCGGCCGCAGGTGCCGAGAGCTGATTGGTTGGGCCAATGCTCGGAATCTGGTTGGCGCTGGAGTCCAGGTGACACCGCGGAGTCGTCGCCCCGCCCGCCCGCGGAGACTCCGCCCCTCCATCAGAAGCCCCGCCTCTGGTGAGTGGCTGGTGTGCGGGGAGGGTTGGCTTGCAGCCGCCGAGGCGTCGGGGTTTCCCGGCTCAGCACATTCTCCCCCACCTCCCACGGCCGCCCCGATATTAATAGCCCTGCCTAGGCCCATCCAGCTGGCTCCGAGCCCCTCCCCATGCTCGGTGTCTCCCTTCATCACCCCAGAAAACATTCAAAACAGCTCGTCGCCTCCGTGTTTCTGACTGTGAAATGGGGATAGGGCTCTGTTTTCTACCCTCGTAGTGCAGGAAGATGGTCAGGACGAAACCTGGAGGGCAGCCTTTAGGGTGATCTGCAGCCACTGTTAGTTTGGTCATCTCCGTTCTGCGGATGAGGAAACAGAGAACCGACGGCTTTCGCTAAGTCACACAGCGCCCAAGCCGTGAACTGGAACGCGAATCCCGGATCTCCGCCACGAGATCTACCTCTGCACCCCTCAACTCCGCAGTCCCTGGCTCCAGGGCAACCTCTGGTCTCATCTGGACCCAAGCGTCCTCGCCCCTATCCGGCTCCACCCTCCTCCCCCATATTTAGTGCGAATCCGATCCGGGGCTGGGCCGGGACCTACTTAACCGGGCCCGGGTGTCCGCGAACGCGGGGAGCGGAGCCAGGAGCCCAAGCAAGATGATGATGGTTATGCAGCCCGAGGGTCTGGGGGCCGGGGAGGGGCCCTTCGCGGGCGGCGGGGGCGGCGAGTACATGGAACAGGAGGAGGACTGGGACCGCGACCTGCTGCTGGACCCGGCCTGGGAGAAGCAGCAGCGGAAAGTGAGTGCTCACCCATTTCCTAACGGCAAAACTGAGACCTGGGAGGCTAGGCGGCTTGTCCTGGGCATCTCACAGGTGCGGGCAGAGCCTGAGTTTAACCCAGACTGCCACTCCCCAGCCCAGGCTCTGCCCCGCAGCCCCCTGCTGTCCGCAGAGCTGGAAGAGAAGCCTGGGAGCCCTCATGAGGGGCTTAGGATGTCAGGAAGTGTTCCTGGGCTACCCGTACTCCCCACCCCAGGGCTCATTTCCCTGGGCCCACTGCCTCATTTCTGGGGCAAAGATCCGTTTGGGCAAAGCGCAGGGCATCCAAGTTGAGGGTGGGGGTTCACAAAGGATAATCATTCTTCCCAGCCCACCCCACACTCTAAATATTCCCAGGTTCCACCCCGAGTGGAACAAGCCAGGCACACTAGGGACTGGGGAGCAAGGCTTCTCAGACCCCACCCTACCCCTCCTCTGTATCCTACCCAGGGCCGGGTCCATAGTCATTCTATCTCGTGACAGTTGAAGAAAGTTAGGCCCAGAAAAGAACTAGGGTAGGCCCCAAATCACACACTGTCAGAAAACAGGCACCCCAGTCTGAGGATCTTTATCCCTTGCCCCTCCCCCACCCCTTCACAAGATACCCCTTCCACCACGGGGCCCTGAGTCTGCTGAAAAGGCCACCAGGTCGGGAGGAGGGGAGCCCTGGGTCCCCTTACAGGTCCCCTTGTGCAGTAACCTGACTCTCCAGCCAGATGGGCACTTTGTGCTGAGGCAGCGCCTTGGGGGAGCTTAACAGGGGCACATGGCAGGTGCTGCCCAGACTCAGCCTTGTAGGGAGGGCACTTGGGTCCCCTCCCTCCCTGAACTATTTTCACTCCCAGACTTTCCCTACTGGAGRGGGCAGGACACCTGGGTTCCCTAAAGAGAAAATGATCCCAGCTGGAATGAGAAAAATTTGAGAAGTGGTGGCCAGGGATGGCCTGCTGAGTGTTTGACAATAGCACAGGACTCCAGGAAAGGGCAGGGCACTGGGCTGCTCTGTGGAATTGTGAAATTCCACAGGGTCTGAGAATCCCAGAATTTAGAATCAGAGCATTTCCACTGGGTTAGGAGACAGGAGTTGACCCCAGGGGTCAAGAGACTTAGCTGACTAGGCTGGGATGCCCTGGGTGACACTCCCCC